GTTGAAGGCCCCTTGTGGAGTTCTATGGCACTATGGGATTGTCTGAGAATTAAGGATTATATTAATTATATTGATATTTTATGATATTTTGATATTTTTTAAATCATATTTCCACCTGTTTTCCTATTCGCATTACAATATTCTACCACATGTTCAGAGAAGTTTTCCAAGATTGTAGATGTGTTGTGGCTGCATTGCAAGGCATTCATAAACACTATCTATTGCGCTTTTGAGGCGTTCAACCTTTTCCTTTTGATGAGTGGCTGGGTTGGTCACTGAGATATAGATTCTTGGAGCCAGAATATGATTGGGATATGAGGATATGAATGGATATGACGCGATAAAACCCGATCAGATCCCATGACGCAGCTGAGTTACCATTGATCTCTTCTCCCTGGATCACCTCGAGGGGTTGTTCTCTTGCTCAGCGCAGGAGCTGTGCTGTCTGAGACACCATCCACGGACTCCAGCGTTGACACCCGGGATATCTACGCATCTTGGACCAACATGGCAAGTGTCGTTTTTTTTTAAGATTCCAGGTCCAAACATAGATCATGAATCTCCATAAGCATCCATAAACATCCATAAACACCAGGGATTCATTCCAATTCTATAGTGAAACATGGGGTGCCCATTTCTGCGATTTTCAAGGTCTCGGGCCTCTGGTAATTGGGCCCCACTTTCCTGGCATCAAATGAAGATTTTGGATCATTTACCCTCTGGTAATCAGATATGGCCGGAAAATCCATGAAAACCCATATGTAGTTGACTTTCCCATTGAACGTCCTAAAGCCAGTTGAACCTCCATTTTGCTCGGGGATTCCCATGACACTTTTTTTTTTGGGTTGGCGCCTCCAAGATCAGCACTCGCAGGTGTCCCAGGCCTTCTGGGCATGGCAAAATGTGCCAGAGGAAATGAAGAGCCAGGCTGGACGCCTGTGGTGAGAAGATGTTCAAATATGCTGAAAAAATGTACAGAAAACGGGTAGAACATGTGGGAAGAAGCGATGTTTTTAGGAATCGTGATGGCTAAAGGAGCTGCTTAGTTGTAGTTTTTCTGTTGTTGGAAGATTTTGGGACTCGGGAACACGGTCTTGGCAGCTCAGGCATGGACGCGCTTTGTGAGCATCATCAATGACCGCGAGAGGGACGACCAGCTCTTTGCAAAGATTGGGGGGAAGGCATGCGCAGAACCTTTGATGAAGCAAGCTTGTGAGCTTGCTCGGGGGATCCCACGGGGTGCGGAGCATTGCGGAGCATGATGCTACAGACTACTTGAATTTGAGATATGATATGACTTGGTAATACTTGGCAAATGTTGAATTCCCAAAATGTGGATCTCTAGTAGCTTCTAGCAGCTACATGATATAACAGCAGATCTTTCTAACTGTGTGACTCCCTACAGCTGTGGCGCTTCTCAGGACAGCCAGGGGCCCGCGGAGTGCCAGAAAAAGATGTTGGACGAGCGTTCCGAGTTGAAGGTCCTGAGAAAGCATCACGGGGCAGCAAGCATCCAACAGCATTGGCAAAAACCCTATGACAAGACTTAGAGCGGCCAAGATCCTAGCTACTATAAATAGGGAACATGTCAATACGGATTTGCAACATACTGGCAATGGAACGTGGCATAACGTGACCATGTTCGAGTACTGTAAAGAATGGCAAATCATTTTCAACTAGGTGATCTTCCAGCCAGTTGGAAAGTCATGTGTTCCATGGTCAAAACCTGCGGGATGTTTCCTATGGCTTGCAATCATAGGGATCATAGGGGCTCCTTGGAAGGACATGGACTGCCACTACACCTTGGCACGCGCAGTGCATGAGCACTGCCCAGTGTCGGCCAGCCATCATGCCACGGGCGGCTGGAATGGCTACAACATGAAATTCTCTCAGGAGCTGGTCGACCACTCGCTGGATTTGGTTGTTTGAAGATGTTTGAAGTTCCAATTTTCGGAAGAATTCGGAGGGGCATAAGAGCCAGGAATCATACGAACAAGTAGATACAAACAGATGTAACTAGACTCTCATGACCAATGGTTCTGAGGGTTTTGAGTGGTGATGGTTCAACAAGTATTCAACAAGTGCCACTTTTCCTGTCCTGCCTGGAATGATGTGCCAACATTGGCGATGTTTGGATTGATGCTCCCGCAGCCTTCGAGATGGTCTGATATGGTCAGATATGGTCACATGATCCCGCGCAGCGGCGTAGCGCGGCGAGGTCCTCTTGAACCTTTGCGAAGGCCAGGAGGTTCTTGGGAAGGACTTGGAGCAACTGTCGAAGATTGTTCAGGAGGAGTGCATCCAGGCCCGGCATGGAGTCCCTGAATAAATCTGAATAAAATTGAATAAATAGATGCAACAAATTATGTGAAAGAGTGGCGATAGAGTGGCATAGGCCGGCAATCCTTCCAAAAAGGAGGGGCGCTTTGCCAAAATGGTCACAGACATGTCGCAGAGGCCAAGGGCTTGACCGAGGTGGTCATTTGAGAGGCCGGTACCTCAGAAAGGAAGTGAAGCCAGTGAAGCTAAGTGGCGTGAGAAACTTGGCCAATGCTGAGGCTGCTTGACCCGGAGTGGCATGCAGTGCAAGTTTTGAGTGAGCGGCACCAATTTAAAATGGTGGTGATGCGGTGGCGATGTTTAGAGTTTAGTCGATGTCCCTCATGTGCGCTTGGCACTTGGCACAGACATTTGTAAGGCTTATCGAGAAAAAGCGGCCCGCTGCCTTTGTAAATGAACTGTCATGGGCTGGGGCAATTGCAAGATGACAGACCAGATTCATCCTGTTACCCTGTTGTAAGTCGCAGATAACGGACAATATCATGCAATATCTCAAGTCGGCGTTTGGTGAATGGCGATGCATGATTGCACAGGGCTGTGTGAGGGCATGGGAGGTGATGGAGATGCAGATCCAGCTGTCTGCGGATTCCTTTGCGGATGTCACATTCACCTCCTATAACAAGGTGGCTCTTCATTCCGATCCCCAATATTCCGAGGGCCAAAGAGCCCTTGAAGCGAGAGCCAAGACAGCAGAAGGAGATAGAAGGAGTGTGTACTGTACACATTGTGAGCAATTTCAACATTTTCTAGCCCATTGGCCATTCAGCATCATTCATCATTCTAATATCTGAGTTCTGTCCGCTGGGCGGCTGGCATGTGCCATTGTCAGGGGATTCCTTTGAACGCAATGGAGCGCACCTGCCATGCAAGACAGCTGCATGATAGAGGCAGAATGGTTGAGTGGCTGATAAAGTTTCGAGCCTAAAGCTAGATGTGTAAGTTGAGTCAAGCCAATTCAAGCCTTATACGAGAGGCAAAGCATTGGTTTGGATGCTTTTTGGGATTCAAGCCTGGGGGAGCTTCCGCGGCACTCCATGATTGGACTACAGTATTCTATTCGATAAGATTATAATCGATTATGATTTATGATCGCACACATATAATATATTATAATATCATATAATGATATTTGGCGTGTGTGTGTGCAGAAAACAAAGCCCCCAAGGAAGTGGCTCCCCCATGTGTTATTGAACAAATTCATAAGCAAAAGGCACAGGTTGAACCAGCAGTTCCAGCCGTGCCCGAGCACAAAGGACAGCAGCAACAGCAGCCCCAGGCAGAGCGAATTGAAATTCAAGCAAATATCAAGGATGTCAAAGATGTCACAGCCGGAGGTGCAGAAAGCAAAGCCCCCAAAGAGGTGGCTTCGCCAGCTGCTTTTGAAACAACTGCCGAAGCACCAGTTGGACCAGTAGTTGCCAAGGAACCTGCTCCAGCCGCGCTTGAGCAAAAGGGGCAGCAGCAACAGCGGCCTCAGGCAGATCGTCCTGAGGAAGGAGTTGAAAGTCAAGCACAGACCAAGGATCCCAAGGATGCCAAAGATGTCGCCCCCAAGAGGCGGCTTCCTCAGTTGCTTTTGCAGCAGCTTCTGAGCAAAAGAAACCAGTTGATCCAGCAGTTGGCAAGGAAGCTGCTCTTCCCGCGCCTGAGCAAAAGAGGCAGCACGAACAGCAGCCTCAGCCAGAGCCTCCCCGGCCAGGAATTGAAAGTCAAGGAGGTCCGGAGGGTGACAAGGACGCCAAAGCCGGAGGTGCAGAAAACAAGGCCCACAAGGAAGTGGCTCCCCCATCTGCTGTTGAAGAAATTCATAAGCAACAGGCACAAGTTGAACCAGCAGTTGGCAAGGAACTTGCTCCAGCAGTTGGACAGGAACCAACTCCATCCGCACCCGAGCAAGAGGGGCAACAGCAACAGCAGCTTGGGGCAGATGTCAAAGATGGGAAAGTCCGAGGTGAGGAAGATAAAATTCCTGAACACAAGGCTTCGCTGGCTGCTGAGGCACCCAAGCAAGAGGTGCTCCTGGAACGAGCTGACAAAGATGCTGCTCAGCCCTCACCTGAGCAGCTGGAAAGCTCTCAGCCAGACTCTCTGCAGGCTTCGGAGGGCAGCCCAGCCATGTCATCAGCAGTTCTAAATGTCAGACAGGCCAGACGGCTTCGTAAGGCTGGCCAGCCGAGACCTATGACGCCACGATAGGGCCGCAATGATGCAAACAAGCAGGCACTCGCCGAATGGCAGCAGGGGTCAAGCTGTTGGTGAAGCCGGAACTGTTGAAATTCCTGAGGTTCAAGGCAGACGTGCTCCATGCTGGACAGGGTGAAGACTTTACAGTTTCGAAATGGATGTGATCCCGCTCCGTGGTGCCAAGCAATGCTCCGTTCCAGGCGGTTGGCCTTTACATGCCCACGTGACCACGTGACCGGTTGAGTCTCGAATTGCTTACCGACATCACTGCACCGCCCAAAAAAGACCGGTGCTGCTGCTGGTGGGAATGGTACGTAGACCCCAAGCTTCAAGGATCATGACCCATCTCAACAAATTTCAAACGCCCAAACGATGGAAGTGTCTGGTGGATGAATCATGATGAACCCACAACGTACTCCAACATAATCCAACATAATCCAATCGTCTCCATTGGCTGTATGTCTTCATCTTACGGCAGCCACCGTGTGCTCAAATCTCCCACTTCTGCTTCGATTTCGATTTGGAGGCCAACCCTTCCTGCCCAAACACATCTTACCCGGATTTCTGACAAAGTTGCAGTGATTTCGGCATACGGCATCCATCGGCATTGCGGCATACCCTTTCCCATCCTTTCCGACAGGCCATGGCTGCCATTGCACTCGCCATGCTCTTGCCATCACTGGCCCTGGCCGAGAAGTGGGCTGTCATCGCGGCCGGCTCACAAGGCTGGAGCTTCACCTCCTGGACTGCATCAAGATATAAGGATATATAAGGTGGTATCAATGGGATTCAATGGGTATAATATGGTATAATCATGTTGTCAAATCTTGATCCATAGGTCATGGGATTTCAATGGGTCAAGTGGTTCCATTGCAGTATGTGTGAAAGGATGTTTGTAGAAACTCTTTGCTCATTTTATGCTCAATGTTGCAGCGCGCCGGAAAGATGTATGCGCAAAGATGGAATTTGTGGCATCGCCTTTTGCAAGCTTCATGTGCAGCAGTCCACTCCACGAACTCTCATACATGGGACGAAATGGGACGAACACTAGCCGCTGCGAGGCTTTATGAATTACAGGCATCAGGCAGATGCATGCCATGCGTACCAGATCATGCTCAAAAGCGGAGTGAAGGCTGAGAATATCATCCTCATGATGCAGGACAGCCAGTTGCTGGCTGCTGTTTGTTGCACCTCGCACGAGCCACCGGAATTCAAATGTTTGGGTGGGAGCATAATTAAAGGGGTTGGCTTAGCTGGCTTGGGCAAATCTGACTTGGGCAAATCTGACTTGGGCAGAAGATCTGACAGGATGATGTTGCAAAATCTTCGGAAAATCCCTTCCCCGGCCAGCTCTTCAACAAGCCGGGCAACGACTCCCCAGATGTGACCTGGACAAATTGGGCCACCCTTTGTGGGAAATTGCCCATGGTTGCCGAGGTCTACAAGGGGTGCAAGGTTGACTACTCGGGCGATATCGTCACGGCCCAGCTTTTCCTGGATGTGCTCACCAGCAACACTACCGGCGCTAAGGGCAAGGACGGAAAAAGACGATGGTGATGATTGATTGATTTTCCTTGATTCCTTGGTCAGGGGCGTGCCCAAAAGCCAAACTGGGGCTGTCATTGTGTAGGAAATCAACCTTGTTTTTGTTTCACCATTACGGATTGTAGAGCTAATGAACGGGGATATCAAGTATGGGTATATATCAACTGGGTATATACGCGAAACGCCTACTAATAAGAACGGACATCATGGATTTCGAGGTCCTCGAATGAATGATTGCCTGGAATGATGAGTGGAACGCGTCAATGCGAGGAACTATTCATATGATATATCAGCAAGTTGGCTACAATTTCGTGATAGGCCTTAGGCATATATGCCAACCATAGCGGGCTGCTTGTCATCCCGTTATTCCTGGTAGATGCCAGCAAGACTATCTTATTAATATGGTATTCCCATTATTAAAGCCATTTACGCACGGATTTCGATCCCATTATGGTTGGCAGATGTTCTCATTACTCTTTCCTCGGTCTAGCATTCTGGAGCTCTATTGTTGCCGCTCTTGGCCCCACGGGACCAACAGCATCCGGCCGCAGGCCGCAAGTTTATGATGGATCTATCAATTCCCGACGTGCAGCGTCAATGGGCATTCTACATATCTAAGGCATAATCGCTTAACTACATTTCAGCACATCCGTTTTTCCGCCCATCGTCTGGAAGGGATGTGGATGTGAGGGAGCGGAACGGAGTGGAAGAGGTGGTCCTAGATATTTGATTTTGCTTGGCCGCATCTTACACATACAGATAGTATAAATATATAAATATATATATATATCCGAATAATTTGATGGACGAGGGCCGTTTTCATAAGATCTCGGTGGAAGAGATGGGTACAGAAAGAAGGATGAATGGGGGAGGGAGCAGATGGCTCTTAGGGTGCTAGAATGAAGCACACCCGAGGACATTGGCGTGGACAACGATATTGCAGTGCAGAGCGGTTTTGGCCATGAACAAAACGGGAGCAGGGTAGTGCAAAACACAACAAAAATACCCAACGGCTAGGCCTGGCTTGGAAAAAGCACTCGCCGCACCAGGCGCGCAAAAAGCGCCCGCCCCAGGCGCGCAAGAAGCGCGCGCCCCAGGCGCGCAAAGAGCGCGCGCCTACAATAGGCGCGCAAAGAGCGCGCGCCCCAGGCGCGCAGAAAGCGCGCGCCTACAATAGGCGCGCGAAAAGCGCGCGCCTTTATGTAGGCCCTACTACCGTTTGGTATAGGTGGTTTTTAGCAACGGAGGCAACAGTTTGACAGAAGCTGGGATACAACCCCAAACAGGAGGAACACACAGACTGGGATGATTTTCCGGCGGTATACTGAACCCATAAAGAAGCTGGGCGCCCAAAGGGGCGCCAGGCGCGCAAAAGCCGCGCGCCCTAGACCGCATGTGACGGAAGGAGTTATACAAGCTGAAGGCCCAGGAGATGGAATGGTGTGAGCTTATGTTCTCACTGTTGCAATCTAATGCATTTGGGTTGGCTGCTCATTGAGAAAAGAACTGAAAGCATATTTTTTTGGCAGATTCTTTAATATCCGAAGGGTTCCTCAATATGGTTTCCATCTTGTTGAAACGGCTTTGTGGAGACTATTGAAATTGTGGACTTGCGTGTTGTTGTTTTTCGTGCTTGCTACGCAGAGCTTGAAAGAACAAGCATGCATGCCGGAACTTGAATGGACGCTTCAAAGGCCACCCTGGATGCAAACACATGGCAACACAGAACAGCTGCATCGCCAGCGCCTCTAGACCTAGGCAATCAGAGACCTTAATCCGGGCACCTTCCAGAGCTGTTCCGGGCATTCTGGATTGGGAATCCCACCAAGGAGGGTGTCGCTGTGACACCGTGCTTGGGATGATTCAAAATGCCGAATCCCACTTGGAAAGCTTAGATGGCTTGGACTGGCCACATATACAAGAGAAGCAGCTGAGGCAACAATGTTTCTTCTGATTGTGGATTCCGAATCCCACCAAGCAGGGTGTCGCTGTGACACTGTGCTTGGGATGATTCAAATTCATCAAAAGGACCAATACAGTTGAGACGATACGGGACTTGGTGGCATAGCCGCTTGAAGAGAAAGTGTTTCTACCTTTTGGCTTGTCAAAAGAACGCGTAGAGCAGAAGATATAGAAACGATAGGCAGTACAATTTTGAGCGAACCAAGGCTTTAGATTTTAGAGTGCCACATAGTTGGACACAATTTTGCCGGCAGCACCGAAAAAGATTTGCGTCCTCTGTGATGGAGCATGCATGTGTTTCTTGAGCCCAAAGGAAATCAGCTCTTGGTGCGAGCAATTAATGCTATTGTTTTCGCACCCACGTCGCAGATCAAAATTCAAGCCATGTGCTGCTGACGGCTACAGCCGGGAAGAATGGCTGCGTGCCACAGTGGCCAACTGCTATATTCGCGTTCCGTCGCGTTGCAGCATATAATGTTGTATGTAAGTCCTCCGCCATGCCCTTTCCAGTCGGCTTTGGGGGGGGTGCTGTTCTTGGCTGGGTCTTCATCTTTTGTGCCGTCTCCAGTCCAACCTCATCGGCATTCTCCGCCTTCTTCCCTTCCATTGCATCCCGGCAGCTTACGCTTGCAGTTCCCCAATGCCTTTGTTGGTGAAGCCGAAATCCAATTCCACAATGGCCAAATGATCTACAACTACCTCTGCTAGACTCATGATGTGTGAGCGCGATGAAAGTTTCCAAACTTTCTCTTGAAGTCAGCTCAGCAGTGGCAAATCCAGACACCGCACGGCTATCACCTTAAGACGCAATGCGAAATTCCGAAATTCACCGGCTGCGCCTTGACGCTGGAGATCTTAACCTTTCACTCAAGATGCACCTGCTCCCATGTGCTGGACTTGAGTGAGATAGGCAGGGGCCCCAGAAGTCATTGGGCTGCAGACATTTGGAAAAATATTCCCATGCGAAAGACGGCAACTCTGGCAACGGCTTCAGGTGTTCTTAGGGGGGCTCAGATAGGAATTCAAAACGCTGATGGCGAAATCAGGGCCTGCGGCGCGCACACCGCCACAGGTTCTGCAACAATGTTCTCCAGCACTTCATATTTCACAAGCCATCAGTTGAAGTTTGCTGGTGCGACGACAGAACGTGTGCAGGTGAAGCATGAATCCTGAGCCTTTCGGTTCCCTATCGCTATCGGCTTGCAGTGTGTTCTTGAGCCGCTCAACATCAGTGAAGACGGCCTTACTTGATTGCAATGTGACAATGTGTTCCCTCAATTGCCCGGTCATCTTCTCAGGGACGGTGCTTGCCCGTGACGGGCGGGATGACTATAGCGAAGCATTGTTGCCAAGCAAACTTCACCTGGAACAGAGGAAGCGCCTGCTCCCATTTAATCTTCTAGTACTGGTAGATGGTCTGATAATTAACGAGTAAGTCCCACAATCCAAAACAGTAATTTAATGAAAGCATTGATAATCGATGATTATAGCTGTTACCAGGTGTCATTGTGTTTGCAACTCTTTAAACTTAAGCTGTGGGTGCTACTGTGGTGGTTCATTCTGCTTCAACCTGGATGGACCCATCGCCACTGGTGGCGATGATGTAGGGGCTTGTATTTATCCACGGATGATCGGGCTGAATTCTGATGGCCTCAAAAAAAGGTTCGGTAATGTTTTTTTTTGCCATGCCTTTTGCTGTCATATTATTGGTCGATGCGAATTTGCTTCGCAACTGGAGAAAAACAACCAATAGCCAACCCCACGGTCAAACTGCTGTTCCTACATAGTGGCTGTTGTTTCGAAGTTGTGGGAACGGCCCTGTTGGTTGCAGATTGTTGCAAGATGTTGCCAGAATTTCTGGACGGTTATTTCCAGTCACCAGATGTCACCAGTCTGTCACCAACTTCATCCAATTTCCAGACTTTCGTAGGTCCTGAAGAGCACAGAGGAAGACACCGTCTTTGTGAATTTTGTGGACCATGGAGGCCGTGTGGCACGTCGGCATCAGGCCTAGGGATGACTTTTATTTTTATATATATATATATATATATATCAATCAGGCCTAGGGCCTGATCCAAGGGGTTCGTCCAATCCTGTGCATTACTATATAGATAGATATAGTGATATAGAAAAATAATGATACATAATCACATCAGAATCATAGTCATGGAATCTGAATGAGTCTTACGCAATTTATCACAATTTAAATCAAGTACAGGTAGCGTCGAATATCATCCAAAGATGCGTTGTTGAGACTGTTGGGAATGGCAACGGCTACGGCTCCGGTGACCAAGTTGCAGCAGGTCCTGGCATTGTGGCTTTCCCCAATGGCCCCTTCTTGCACGTCAAGGACACTCTGGTAGTGGATCCAGAGCCCTAGGCCAGCCCAAATTCGACGATTTAGCTCGGAGCAACCGCAATCCGAAGGTACCAACAGGGCTTCGGAATCTTCATTTGTCGTCTTTTTTTGGGAACTGTTCACTTATTTCTTTTATATTTCTTTCATGTACACTGAATTATTCATGATCTTTGGACACTCCTGGACTCTCAGCCAGAGGATTTGTCCAAGACTTTGAAGACCATGCAGAGCAAGAAAATGTTCAAGCAGCTGGTCTTTTACATGGAATCTTGGCTGATTCTGCAGCTTTCACCGGTGCTTACAAGATCTGTTGGTGGACAACAATGCTGAAGGCACGAGAAATCTAACAGGCTGGCAGATAGGATGCGTGATGGAAGTTCATTGCATATCCTTGATGACATAGGTAAACTGTGGCTTGAAGGGTGACGGCCAAGGGCTTGAAACATCAGAAGCACCACAGCATAGCACAAGCGCAGTCGACGCCCCAAGCTCTGCGCCCGTTTTGCGGCACCTCAGGAGGCATGCGAAAGCGGCTCCATGTTCCCAGATCTGCAGGCGGATGGAAAGATTCTGGCGGTCACCGCGTCCAACGGCCAGGTGTGGTCACAGTGTTCGGGCTGTGGGTGTGGGACATGCAACTGCACTGGGTGATGATGAGGAGGAGGACGACTCACGACTCACGACGGGTGATGGAAGGATGAAGGATGACGGCGGAGCATGGCAGATGATGACGGATGATGACGGATGATGACCGGATGATGACCGGATTCAATCGAATCTTCAACCCGAAAGCAGCGTCGATTCTGAATTGGCTGGTGACAAATGCGGTGCACTTCTGAAAGAGTGGTTTTACAAATTTTATCAAATTTTTATTATGTTTTATTATGTTTTATCGTGTTTTATAATGTCTTATTATGGTTTTATCGTGTTTTAACGCATTTTTGCTGATTGCATATCCTGCATGTTCCGCCTAGAAAGCTCCCGCATCGAAGACAGGAATCATCTTGGGGCACCTATTGTGGTCTGGACCCAAGTGGGAAACCGCAGCCTTGCAGTACGCCCCACTGAGGTTCCAAGCGCTGTGTATGCCTGGGTCATGCGTCCCCTCTTTGTACAACATGGGTTATGGCCAAGGATTTTTATGGACTGACTGTACAATTTTATCCCACTTGCAACATATACAACCTCATAACCTTCTCTTTGATTGTCGAAGGGATTTTCCGGGCGTTTTGATCAACCTTTGAGCCATCAAAAATCATCGATATATCGTCCCATATTTAAAGAATTTAAAGATCAAAGGTGATGCAGCCATGGTGAAGGGCAAGAACATTGGCTCTTGCCTGGGAGATCTCTTCTCTGTCAACTGGATGGAGGACCGGGGCGATGGACACATCGACCACATCATGGACTCGGACGTGTGCGCAATGTGCGCAATGTGCGCAATGTGCGCAATGTGCGCAATGTGCGCAATGTGCGCATTGTGTTTGAGAAAGTGGAGCTATGATGAGCTATGTTTTACTTGTTCATAGATGTTGATCGTCTACACACACACACAACACACACACTGTGTGTGTTTGTGTTCCATTGTTTTCTGTGCTTTTTAAAGTATTGTTTTCTTACTTCTCTTTTGGTTGTTTGCTTTGTAGCGACGTGGGAAACGGGGGGTCAGGACGACGATCTCGGAAAGCTCGCCTCTGAAACTTTCCGCTCTCAGATTTCCAAGGCGCGGGGAGCCGCCATGGTCCCTGAGTCCCTGGCTCGATTCATGAGAAAAAATCGAAGCTTGGAGACTTTCAAACAGATCGACAGCACATGATTTTCAATGAGTTTCAATGAGCTAATTAGCAGCTAAGACAAGTTAAAATCGTTTCGACAGCGCTACAAACACATAGAAATATCATGACATATCATGACATATCATGACATCATGACATATCATGAAAATTCATGAAATATCTATAGAGATGTCCTGAGTTGAACTCACTCTGGACTCGCCAGGTCACCAAGCTCACGAACAAAAGCCATGTTTGCAGTTGCTGGGATCCATTGCGGGAACTGGCATCTGGCAGCTTCAGCGATGTTTTCATGGACATTTCATGGACATTTCATGGACATTTCATGGACATTTCATGGACATTTCATGGACATTTCATGGACATTTCATGGACATTTCATGGACATTTCATGGACATTTCATGGACATTTCATGGGATCATGCAGCCCGAGTGGCAAGGCTTTGGTGACAAGTCCTTCGAGAATGAAGCAATTGGTGACGTGGAGGTTGAAGGCCCCTTTGTGGAGTTCTATGGCACTATGGGATTGTCTGAGAATTAAGGATGATATTGATATTTTATGATATGTTGATATTTTTTAAATCATTTTTCCACCTGTTTTCCAATTCGCATTACAATATTCTACCACATGTTCAGAGAAGTTTTCCAAGATTGTAGATGTGTTGTGGCTGGATTGCAAGGCATTCATAAACACTATGTATTGCGCTTTTGAGGCGTTCAACCTTTTCCTTTTGATGAGTGGCTGGGTTGGTCACTGAGATATAGATTCTTGATGATTCTTGGAGCCAGAATATGATTGGGATATGAGGATATGAATGGATATATCTGAGATAAAACCCGATCAGATCCCATGACGCAGCTGAGTTACCAACCGATCCTCTTCTCCTTGGATCACCTCGAGGGGTTGTTCTCTTGGCGCAGGAGCTGCGCTGTCTGAGACACCATCCACGGACTCCAGCGTTGACACCCGGGATATCTACGCATCTTGGACCAACATGGCAGGTGTCGACTTTTTTTAGATTCCAGGTCCAAACATAGATAACGAATCTCCATAAACATCCATAAACATCCATAAACACCAGGGATTCATTCCAATTCTAATAGTGAAACATGGGGTGCCCATTTCTGCGATTTTCAAGGTCTCGGGCCTCTGGTAATTGGCATCAAATGAAGATTTTGGATCATTTACCCTCTGGTAATCAGATATGGCCGGAAAATCCATGAAAACCCATCATATGTAGTTGACTTTCCCATTGAACGTCCTAAAACCAGTTAAAACCTCCATTTTGCTCGGGGATTCCCATGACACTTTTTTTTTGGGTTGGCGCCTCCAAGATCAGCACTCGCAGGTGTCCCAGGCCTTCTGGGCATGGCAAAATGCGCCAGAGGAAATGAAGAGCCAGGCTGGACGCCTGTGGTGAGAAGATGTTCAAATATGCTGAACAGTTTTTAGGAATCGTGATGGCTAAAGGAGCTGCTTAGTTGTAGTTTTTCTGTTGTTGGAAGATTTTGGGACTCGGGAACACGGTCTTGGCAGCTCAGGCATGGACGCGCTTTGTGAGCATCATCAATGACCGCGAGAGGGACGACCAGCTCTTTGCAAAGATTGGGGGGAAGGCATGCGCAGAACCTTTGATGAAGCAAGCTTGTGAGCTTGCTCGGGGGATCCCACGGGGTGCGGAGCATTGCGGAGCATGATGCTACAGACTACTTGAATTTGAGATATGATATGACTTGGTAATACTTGGCAAATGTTGAATTCCCAAAATGTGGATCTCTAGTAGCTTCTAGCAGCTACATGATATAACAGCAGATCTTTCTAACTGTGTGACTCCCTACAGCTGTGGCGCTTCTCAGGACAGCCAGGGGCCCGCGGAGTGCCAGAAAAAGATGTTGGACGAGCGTTCCGAGTTGAAGGTCCTGAGAAAGCATCACGGGGCAGCAAGCATCCAACAGCATTGGCAAAAACCTATGACAAGACAAGACTTAGAGCGGCCAAGATCCTAGCTACTATAAATAGGGAACAGGTCAATACATGTCAATACGGATTTGCAACATAAACGCAGTTGAGGTCTAAATCTGGCAATGGAACGTGGCATAACGTGACCATGTTCAAGTACTGTAAAGAATGGCAAATCATTTGCAACTAGGTGATCTTCCAGCCATGTTGGAAAGTCATGTGTTCCATGGTCAAAACCGGCGGGATGTTTGAAGGGCTTGCAATCATAGGGATCATACTGTAGGGGCTCCTTGGAAGGACATGGACTGCCACTACACCTTGGCACGCGCAGTGCATGAGCACTGCCCAGTGTCGGCCAGCCATCATGCCACGGGCGGCTGGAATGGCTACAACATGAAATTCTCTCAGGAGCTGGTCGACCACTCGCTGGATTTGGTTGTTTGAAGATGTTTGAAGTTCCAATTTTCGGAAGAATTCGGAGGGGCATAAGAGCCAGGAATCATACGAACAAGTAGATACAAACAGATGTAACTAGACTCTCATGACCAATGATTCTGAGGGTTTTGGTGATGGTTCAACAAGTATTCAACAAGTGCCACTTTTCCTGTCCTGCCTGGAATGATGTGCCAATATTGGCGATGTTTGGATTGATGCTCCCGCAGCCTTCGAGATGGTCAGATATGGTCAGATATGGTCACATGATCCCGCGCAGCGGCGCAGCGCGGCGAGGTCCTCTTGAACCTTTGCGAAGGCCAGGAGTTGGAGCAACTGTCGAAGATTGTTCAGGAGGAGTGCATCCAGGCCCGGCATGGAGTCCCTGAATAAATAGATGCAACAAATTATGTGAAAGAGTGGCGGTAGAGTCTCCCGGTAGAGTGGCATAGGCCGGCAATCCTTCCAAAAAACGGGGCGCTTTGCCAGAACGGTCACAGACATGTCGCAGAGGCCAAGGGCTTGACCGAGGTGGTCGTTTGAGAGGCCGGTACCTCAGAAAGGAAGTGAAGCCAGTGAAGCTAAGTGGTGTGAGAAACTTGGCCAATGCTGAGGCTGCTTGACCCGGAGTGGCATGCAGCGCAAGTTTTGAGTGAGCGGCACCAATTTAAAATGGTGGTGATGCGGTGGCGATGTTTAGAGTTTAGTCGATGTCCCTCATGTGCGCTTGGCACTTGGCACAGACATTTGTAAGGCTTATCGAGAAAAAGCGGCCCGCTGCCTTTGTAAATGAACTGTCATGGGTTGGGGCAACTGCAAGATGACAGACCAGATTCTTTCTGTTACCCTGTTGTAAGTCGCAGAGAACGGACAATATCATGCAATAACTCAAGTCGGCGTTTGGTGAATGGCGATGCATGATTGCACAGGGCAATGTGTGAGGGCATGGGAGGTGATGGAGATGCAGATCCAGCTGTCGGGGCTGCGGATTCCTTTGCGGATGTCACATTCACCTCCTATAACAAGGTGGCTCTTCATTCTGATCCCCAATATTCCGAGGGCCAAAGAGCCCTTGAAGCGAGAGCCAAGACAGCAGAAGGAGATAGAAGGAGTGTGTACTGTACACATTGTGGGGCAATTTCAACATTTTTTAGCCCATTGGCCATTCAGCATCATTCATCATTCTAATATCTGAGTTCTGGCCGTTGGGTGGCTGGCATGTGCCATTGTCAGGGGATTCCTTTGAACGCAATGGAGCGCACCTGCCATGCAAGACAGCTGCATGATAGAGGCAGAATGGTTGAGTGGCTGATAAAGTTCCGAGCCTAAAGCTAGATGTGTAAGTTGAGTCAAGCCAATTCAAGCCTTATACGAGAGGCAAAGCATTGGTTTGGATGCTTTTTGGGACTCAAGCCTGGGGGAGCTTCCGCGGCACTCCATGATTGGACTACTGCATTCTATTCGATAAGATTACAATCGATTATAATTTATGATCGCACACATCATATAATGATATCTGGTGTGTGTATATATATATATATATTTAAGTATATATATATATATTGATATTGATATGCAATTCCATACATGCGCGCATCCACACAGACACATGTAAACAAATACTCAGATGATGGCTGCCAGGCAGCCAAAGAGCCCGGCCAAGGGGCCGCATTGCTGCACACTGTTTGCTGGTCACGGTGCCTCGTATGGACAACATTGGACAACAGGGTCATGGAAGCTGCATTTGGATGCATCTTCAGAGTTGCTGAACATATTTTAATGATTGCCATTGCTATTCCACTATTGCTATTATTACCATTGTTGCCACATGTTGTCACTACTATTCTTACCGTAATCATGATTATGATTATGATAGTGATGATTATCGTTGTCTTCTACAGTCAAAGGTTTCTGGAACCTGCAATTGACTGGACAATACCAAGGGCGATGAACACAAATTATGGCAATCTGAAAAATTATCAGGTGCATGTATGGTTCGAGACAGTTCAAGTCGGCACTTCAGCGCTCCAAAGCAGGCCCCACTAGGAATTGCTTTGGCTTTACGTGGTGTGCCACCCAGGCCGAGTCAATGACCTGCATGGTTTGTGTGTTGGAAGGGGGTGCTCGGTCTTCACATGTCAGTGTAAGACTTTGGAAGAAGTTGTCGCACGATTGTTGCAGTAGTTGCTTTGTTAAAGTTGTAGTTTTCACTTGTCCCCACTACCAACAGGTTGCTGTTTTTTCTCTGCGACTGGGCATTGTGTTTTTGATATTTTTCGATTGGAGTCTCTGTCGCTAAGAGCACCATCCATGAGGCGACTCAAAATCAGCATTTTTGGATGTTTTTGGCGTCAAGTAGTGCCAGCTGATTCCCATGCTGCAGGTATCACTCCGCCATGGAACTACTCACAGAGCGTTTGAAGCATCGAGAGTTGGATCCAGGACCTCAATCAGCCCACCAAATTCATCCTTTCGAGTACTAAAGATGATGTAAAACATGTTCAACCGTACTAAACCGATATTAAACCATATCAAACCATCCAGTTTTATTCATTTTGGGGCTTGATCATTTAGACATATTATGACCCATGGTGATTTGCAAAAAGCCGCGGGTGAATTTTTGGTTCGCCACACCGGAGGCATGGACCATCCACTGATGTTACTTCGCCGGAGCCTCGGATGGGGCCATCAGCAGCCCCTCTCAGTATCCATCCGTCCGTCCGTCCATCCATCCTACCTACCTACCTACATATGATTTACATACGATTTACTTAAAGTACCATCCCAAAAAAAGACGGAACATGGTATATTTTATCACTTTTTTTGGGACCGAAAGCTGAGGTTTCCTCACCTGCACCAAGACGGTGGAGGAGGCGGAAGAGATGGTGCTGACTGCTCAGGTGCCGTCAAAATGTTGGGAAAAGCATGGAAAAGCTGGGAACGTCCAGTGGTTTATGGCATTTTAGTAGGATTTTAATAGGATATGAATGGGAATTGAGGGGGTTTTAATATGTTTTAATAGGATTTGAATGAGATTTTAGATTTAATGGAATCTAATATTGGGATGTAATGTGATGTGGTAAACCCAACAATCAACCTCCACAGCTACCATACATGGGTGGTAAAGCCCATCCCCGACAGGTTGCCATGTTGCCCAAGACGCTTTCTCTTTGAACAGTTCCATTTTGCGCATCCACATTTTCAGACACCAGGCGAACTGGCAACATATTAACATATTAGCCCCCCTGAACTTTGATGTGCTGCGCCAAGCGGTGTAAAGATACCCATAAAGTAGACATGGTGCCGAGACGGAAACCTCAGGACAGGACGACATTTGTGTTCGTAGCAACGACTGCACTTGCAAGGCATGGAGAAGAGAGGCGAAAGTTGAATCCATCATGCAGGACTCGAACACACACACACACACACCCACACTCACTTACTTTGACTTGGGACTCTGGGCAAACCTAAAAAATCCTAAAAAGATCTAAAAAGGGCAAAACATCCGCACACACAAATTGGTTGGTAGTTTCGCTTGTATTGTTGAGAATTGTCCAACAGAAATGTGATGATGACCACCAGGAGTGGGGCGAACTGGGCGCCTAGGCAGCAAGATGGCCGCCATTTCCCCCAAAGATGGAAAAGGGAACGTCATTAATGAAAGGAAAAACATCTATACAAACTAAACGAACGATATAATTTCGAAATGATTAAGATAATTGGATCACATGACATACTGTAATATTTGGCTACAACGGGGATCTTCCCTTTCCAGCTTAGAGGATATGGATGGATATGGCCCATGGCTGGTGGGTTGGCGCGCCAAGGCAAAGACGGTACGTGGAAGCTGGCACCAAAGCTGCTTGACTTGGCATATGCCCAGTTGATCCAATTAGTTCAACCATCAAAGTGCGGGACCATGACAAACGGGGAATGCCTTCGGCTTTTCCCACCCGTTGGTTGATCATGGTTGATCAATAAGGGTTCTCCCCATTCAACAACCAGTAGATGACACTAAGTAGCATACCGTATACCAAACTGGCCCATTTTTCTCCCGAAAGGATATTGCTTGAGATTGCGATGTTGAATGATATACAGTAATATGATATATATATATATATACCAGTAGTACCCGCACGAGGCGGGGCGGAAGTTGCCTTAAAGATATATATAAGACCTTTCTCATCTATAGAACTTGCATGCGCCGTGCGCCAGCCAAGCCCGTGCGTGCGTGCATTCTGCGAAAGTGGGGTCCTGTTTCTCATGTCACATTTGAAGCTCCACTTCGCACTTCACACTTCTCACTGCACTCTTCACACTCCACACTTCACGCTTCACACTCCACACTTCACACTTCGCACTGCACTCTTCGCACTCCACACTTCACACTTCACACTTCACAGTCCACACTTCACACTTCTCACTTCACACTTCACACTTCACACTCCACACTTCACACTCCACACTTCACACTGCACTCTTCACGCCCCACACTTCTCACTCCTCACTGCTTTCTTCACACTCACAACTTCACACTTCACACTTCACACTGCACTCTTCACGCCCCACACTTCACACTGCACTCTTCACACTCCACACTTCATCTCATCTGAGCCCTTCTCACCTTATCCCAGCTCATCTCTTCTCATCTCTTCTCATCTCTTCTCATCTCTTCTCATATGTCATTTAAGCTTTCATGAATCACTTCCCAGTACTACTACTAATCACTGTCGCAGCCTTGATGCACCCACTCCAATACGATTTACGATCTTCAGCTGCAAAATACAAGAGTATTACGTATGCAGCCGCGGCACCAAGCAACCTTGACGCAGCCATTCCAATGCGATCTGCAGAGACTCAGTTGCAAAACACAATAGAATTACGCGCAACGGCATCGGAAACTGCAGCTCCAAAACCGGATCTCGACGCCAAAGCGAAAAAAAGACGATTTTGAAGCACTATTTAAAAGGATTTTTAAAAGGAAAATCACTAGCGCCAAAATGGAGAAAATCTGCTGACAAAGCCATTTCGCAGCCTGGATGCAGCCACTCCAATACGATTTACGATCTTCAGCTGCAAAAGACAATAGTATTACGCATGCAGCCGCTGCACCAAGCAACCTTGACGCAGCCACTACAATGCGATCTGCAGAGACTGAGTTGCAAAACACAATAGAACTACGTGCAATGGCGTCGGAAATTGCAGCTCCAAAACCGGATCTCGACGCCAAAGCGGCAAAAAGACGATTTTGAACCACTTTTTAAAAGGAATTTTAAAAGGAAAATTATTAGCGCCAAAATGGAGAAAATCTGCTGACAATTCACTTTCGCAGCCTTGATGCAAACATTCCAATACGATTTACGATCTTCAGCTGCAAAAGACAATAGTATTACCCATCCAGCCGCTGCACCAAGCCATTCCAATGCGATTTACGATCTTCAGCTGCAAAAGACAATAGTATTACGCGTGCAGCCGCAGCACCGAGCAACCTTGACGCAGCCACTACAATGCGTTTCGCAGCATCCCGTAGCAAACCTGCACCTATCTACGGACGCGGCAACACCAAATGACAACAATCATGCAGCCATTCCAATGCGATCTGCCACCACAGCTTCAAGAAACGCATAGAACTACGCACACAGGAACAACCACTCGTTGAAAAACACATAGGAGGAGCAATTCGCGACAGAAACGACCGCAGCCGCACCCGCCGCACAGACGAGGTACCTTTCATCGCCGGCTGCAGCCACTTTACACGGAAAAACACAAGGTTTCGTGCTCCGGCTTCCCATAGCCCATGCAACATTCATGCAGCCATTACACTGCGGTTCGCAGCATCCCGCAGCAAACCTGCACCTATCTACGGACGTGGCAACACCAAATGACAACAATCATGCAGCCATTCCAATGCGATCTGCCACCACAGCTTCAAGAAACGCATAGAACTACGCACACAGGAACAACCACTCGTTGCAAAACACATAGGAGGAACAATTCGCGCAGAAACGACCGCAGCCGCACCCGCCGCACAGACGAGGTACCTTTCATCGCCGGCTGCAGCCACTTTACACGGAAAAACACAAGGTTTCGTGCTCCGGCTTCCTCCCCACAACAAAGCCCATGCAACATTCATGCGGCCATTACACTGCGTTTCGCAGCATCCCGTAGCAAACCTGCACCTATCTACGAACGTGGCAACACCAAATGACAACAATCATGCAGCCATTCCAATGCGATCTGCCACCACAGCTTCAAGAAACGCATAGAACTACGCACACAGGAACAACCACTCGTTGCAAAACACATAGGAGGAACAATTCGCGACAGAAAAGACCGCAGCCGCACCCGCCGCACAGACGAGGTACCTTTCATCGCCGGCTGCAGCCACTTTACACGGAAAAACACAAGGTTTCGTGCTCCGGCTTCCTCCCCACAACATAGCCCATGCAACATTCATGCAGCCATTACACTGCGTTTCGCAGCATCCCGTAGCAAACCTGCACCTATCTACGGACGTGGCAACACCAAATGACAACAACCATGCAGCCATTCCAATGCGATCTGCCACCACAGCTTCAAGAAACGCATAGAACTACGCACACAGGAACAACCACTCGTTGCAAAACACATAGGAGGAACAATTCGCGACAGAAACGACCGCAGCCGCACCCGCCGCACAGACGAGGTACCTTTCATCGCCGGCTGCAGCCACTTTACACGGAAAAACACAAGGTTTCGTGCTCCGGCTTCCTCCCCACAACATAGCCCATGCAACATTCATGCAGCCATTCCAATGCGATCTGCACCACAGCTTCAAGAAACGCATAGAACTACGCACACAGGAACAACCACTCGTTGCAAAACACATAGGAGGAACAATTGGCGACAGAAACGACCGCAGCCGCAACCGCCGCACAGACGAGGTACCTTTCATCGCCGGCTGCAGCCACTTTACACGGAAAAACGCAAGGTTCGTGCTCCGGCTTCCTCCCCACAACATAGCCCATGCAACATCATGCAGCCATTCCAATGCGATCTGCCACCACAGCTCAAGAAACGCATAGAACTACGCACACAGGAACAACCACTCTTGCAAAACACATAGGAGGAACAATTCGCGACAGAAACGACCGCAGCCGCACCCGCCGCACAGACGAGGTACCTTTCATCGCCGGCTGCAGCCACTTTACACGGAAAAACACAAGGTTTCGTGCTCCGGCTTCCTCCCCACAACAAAGCCCATGCAACATTCATGCAGCCATTCCAATGCGATCTGCCATTCCTCACCACTTCCCATCGTCACCACTTCCCTTCCTCACCACTTCCCATCGTCACCACTTCCCTTCCTCACCACTCCCCTTCATCACCACTTCCCTTCGTCACCACTTCCCTTCCTCACCACTTCCCTTCCTCACCACTTCCCATCGTCGCCACTTCCCGCCATCACCACTTCCCTTCCTCACCACTCCCCTTCATCACCACTTCCCTTCGTCGCCACTTCCGTAACTCGGAAGTATTGCTTCCCAACTTCCTTTGATTAGATTATGTATTGTTATATTATGTATTGTTGTATGATCTACCACCCTTCCTCAAGGTCAATTTCACAGCTTCTTATTCTTTTGTTATGTATTGGTACATTATGTATTGTTATACTATGTATTGTTATATGATCTACCACCCTTCCTCAAGGTCAATTTCATTGCTTCTTATTCTTTTGTGATGTATTGGTACATTATGTATTGTTAAATTGTGTATTGTTATATGATCTACCACCCTTCCTCAAGGTCAATTTCATTGCTTCTTATTCTTTTGTGATGTATTGGTACATTATGTATTGTTACATGATCTACCACCCTTCATCATAGTCAATTGCACCAAGTAAAAGTCATTCGTAACTCGGAAGTATTGCTTCCCAACTTCCTTTGATAATAGATTGAATTAAAATAACATGTATTTTTGATGAGAACTCCTGGGTGCCACGGTCCATCACGCTTTTGACCCAGTGGCATATTTTGGATTGGTGGTGGACCCTTGAAGTCGTGCCACTTTCCAGGGCGGCTGGAAATGCAGACAGCTTGTTTCTCACAACTGGTCGCCAGAACCCGGTAGCATCCAAGCTGCGAGGTAGTGAAGTGGAGATCAGATGCAACGCTGAGACTCATCATGCTCAAAGATGGTTGTGGTCAGCTGCCAGGGTGCCGTTTGAATTCTAGGACATTGTTGGACATTGGAAATTTGAACGTAACCTTCCCATTGTATCCATTTGTTGACCCAAACGGTGTGGGACGGCCGTTTCAGTGCGCCATGCCGTGTGGAAGCGCCCAGCGTCGCTTGCTTCGAGATTTCAAAAAGATGACAGCAGATGCCCCGAAACTGGGTTCAACTTGAATTTATGTCATATTTTGCCATGTTTGCCTTTTTTATTCTAGCCAAATCATGCTTGAAATCGTGTTTGCAATCGAGATGAACATAGATGAACCACCATGCAGGAAAGGCATCCAAGCGTCACCTGTGGGCGATGATCTCTTCAATTGGTCGGCGATCGTCCTTGGACCACAGGACACAGCCTGGGAAGGTGGCGTTTGGAAGTTGAAAATGAGCTTCAACGAGGAGTATCCCGAAAAGCCACCTTCGGTGCGTTTCGAGAATGAAGTCTTCCATCCCAATATCTTCCCAGATGGTCAAATCTGCCTCGACCTTCTCAAAGGATCTGGTTGGTCTCCAGCCTATGATGTGTGCACCATTTTGTTGGCCATCCAGTCCTTATTGGCAGACCCAGACACTCATGCCACACCAGAGGGAGGAGCCAATCCAGAGGCGGAATCACTCTTCGTCCGAGACCGACAGGGTTATTATGCCAAGGTGTGGCAGGGCCAAAACTGGGGTTACTTAAGATCTTCACACTGGGTTCGTCATAGTCATAGCTCTGGTGTGCAGTCATAGCTCTGGTGTGCAGTCATAGGGGTTGGTGCCAAATTTATCCAAGCCCTACAATGAATCCCCAAATTTCCTGAACAACCAACTGGATATCATTGGATTTGTAGAAGTGGATATCACTGGAATAAGCATCCAACTCCCGGGGTTCTATTGAGTTTCTGCTTCAATCACATTCTGCGACAATATTCGGCGACAAAGGCCCCAGAAATCTTGATCTAGTGACGCGCAAGGTGAAATCTCTGGTTGACAAGCAGCTGGAGGAGGATGACATGGGCTGCCTTAGCGCTGTACCTTGAATATCATTGCAGTTTCACCGAGAGCATAGCGATGTCTTCTGCATGGGCCCGAGAAGGCCCCACATTGAGCTGGAGCCTATGGTCCAGAAATCAGTAGAACTGATGAGCTCCGGCAGGGACAAGTGCAAAAAAGTGGCTTGAACCTCGATTCCTGAAGAATCCCAGTAGCGAAAGTTGAGCTTCTAGACCCCCATCAAGCTTTGCATCGAGAAACTTTACAGCTGAGTCATTCATTTTGGTAAAGTTAAAGTATGTTACAGTAACAACCTCACCACGACTTCACCATAGATGATGGTTAGTAAGGGGATGATCATCCCCAAATTGGCTTATTTCTGCCCATTTAAGGGTTGCAAATTACTGTTCTTTGCCCAGATTCATTTCATGTCATGGCCCGTGTTCACTCTTCGCGGGGAGGTGGTTCAAGATGTTGCAGCTCGATAGAAAGCCATGGGGACATGGCTGGAGCCCATCGCCAAGCGATGTGGCTGTGGTGGCTCCTATCGATGGCTGCGATGGCTGCGATGGCTGCGATGGCTGCTGGGGACATGAGGTGCTTAGAGGATGCCATAGCGCCTGCAGCGCGGAAGAACCTCAGCAACGCAGAAGGCTGGACCTGGGAGGCCTAACACACTGATGGGGACGAACAGTTAATTCGATCTATTCGGATAGATCGGGGCAACATATTATATAGTGTATATATAGTTATATATATATACTATATATACTATATACATGCGTGTGTCATACTATATATATATATTATAGATAGTAATAAATAATAACGACAATGATGATAGACATATTAAAATACCGGCAATGAGTCCTAAAAAACACTATGATAGCTAACATTCAGAAACGAACAACACAATACATGACGACCTCAATGCTAATAACAATCATAACCAACAGAACATTACTGCCAATAACAAGAGTATTAATGAGAATAAACATTGCTAATAACAATGACGCTGATAATTACCAGGGAGTGCCCATGCCGGGGCGTAAGTTTCGAACAAATAAAAATGGCTATAATGGCCTATAAGCCTATAGGAAAGTTTTTGAGATGCAGAAGCAATGAAGTGTTGAAGTTGTGAGGTGTTCAGATGCCATGGAAATGACATGAAAAAAACATGCACAACTGACTGCATGAACCGACGAAGCAATGAATCAGTGAATCAATGAATCACATGAATCATGGAATCAATGACGCAATGAATCCCTGAATCAAGCAACAAAGCAATGAGTCAGTGAATCACCGAAGCAACAAAGCAAGGAATCAAATTAATCAGTGAATCAAAGAACCAATGAATCAATGAATCATTGAAGCAACGACTGAATGAAGCAAAGAAGCAATGAATCAGTGGAACAAATGAATTAATGAATCATCGAAATGATGAAGCAACGACGCCATGATTCAGTGAATCAGTGAGTCAGCGAACCAATGCATCGCTGAACCAATCAATCACTGAATCAAATAAATCAATGAATCAATGAACCAGTGAATCAGTGAATCAATGACCCAAAGAATCAGTGAGTCCATGAATCAAGAAGTCAATGAATCAATGAATGTGTGAATGAATGGATGGGTGGAGAACAAATGAATGGAGTGAGTTCTTTCTCTGCTGAGCTACTTCTTCACTGAGCGTCCTCTTCGCCGAGGTACCTCTTCTCTCAGCCACTTCTTCTCTGAGCAGCCTCTTATCTGGGCTACTTCTGCTTTGAACTGCCTCCCAGCTACCTCTTCCGTATCTTTGGCAACCCAATTCTTCCCTTCGCGCAGCCAGCACAAGGCGTTTTGCAACCTCCAGCTGCGCTCCCGCATAGCGCAAACGTGGCACTATGCTGAAACCCTACCTCTCACGCAGTTGTTGCACTGCGTTTCGCAACCTCCAGCTGCAATCTTGCATAGCAGGAGCGTCGCAGCATCACTAATGCTTTCCTGCGTGCAGCCGTGCCGATGCATTTTGCCACAGCCGGTTGCAAACCCGCATAACAGAGCATCGCGCCCCTCATTTTTTTTGACATTTTAATGCAAATCCAGCTCTGGCTACAGTCCTGTGCACTTTTGTCGGCAGCTTTCCCAGATCGAGGCCCGCAACCGCAGAAACAGAGACCCTACTTCGGCAACCCCAGGAGCCACATTGCCCGAAAAAAACTGGGCGCAAAAGCGTTTTCACCCGTGAATTCACACGCTCCTGGCCCGTTTCTCTCCTCTACCGCCCCCAAACGCGAACGGTCCTTACTAACTATGTGGTGGACATGATGGCAAGACTGCCCCTGGACATCCGTCGGTAGCTCCGCAGTTTTCGAACTAAACTTCCTTTGAATAATGGCAGCAATATTTTTGAGAATCAATTTTCGAACATGATTATAATGACAATATTGATACCAGTAGTACCGCACAAGGCGGTGGCGGAAGTTTCAAACATAGGAAACCTATAGGAGAGGTTGGTTGTTGTGAATCAGGGATGGCAGAGCGAAGCCACTGATGGACCGAAAGGTGCTTGATCTCTCTCTCTCTCTCTACCTACCTATCTATCTAGCTGTCTAGTTTTCTAGCTATTTGTCTATCTATCTATCTATCTATCTATCTATCTATCTATCTATCTATCTATCTATCTATCTATCTATCTATCTGCAACATCAAAAACGAAGAAATTCTGCGAGACTTCCTTAATGTTTGAACATAACAAGGCCAAAACGAAACAATTCTGCGAGACATCTTCACTTTTTGAATTTGACAACATCCGAAACGAAGCAATTCTGCGAGACTTCCTCATTTTTTCGAAGTTCAAGACATCAAGAACGAAAGAATTCTGCAAAACTTCCTTCAAAAATGGAAAGTTGAGTGCAGAGCTGACAGCCTTGTACCAATGCGTTTTGCGATTTTTCCAGTCCACCTGTCTAAAGTATTGCGCCTGCCACGGAAAATTGATGCCAGGTCATACGAAGTGCTGCACCTGTCACGCAAAATCATCTCAGCAAACCTGAAGATTTGATGCTCCAAAATGCAACCCATCTCAGGAAATCAGCGCCCTGACCTCCTAACATCTCTGATGAACATGTCTTTTGTACTGCGCCCGCCACGCGAAATGCGTCTTTGAAGATCCTCTTCAAATGTCCCACGCCTGGTAGCGTTTTTGGAAATGCTACAAAACCCTCACGTTTTGCTCACTTTTGCCAAGGTGCACAATCCCTTGCGCCTGCCACGCGAAAGCACATCTGAACGTCCAAAAGTGCTCCGTACCCGTCAGTTTTTTGCACTTTTGACTTGGAAATATGCTTCGTGCCACAACGGCGTGCACTTTTGCGACATCTCAACTTCCAAAAGTGGTCCGAAGCTGGTGTGTTTTGTACATTTTCACTTCGACATGTGCTTCGCGCCACAACGGCGTGCACTTTTGCGACATCTCAACTTCCAAAAGTGGTCCGAACGTAGTGTGTTTTGTTCAGTTTGACTTGGAAATGTGCTTCGCGCCACAACGGCGTGCACTTTTTCAACATCTCAACTTCCAAAAGTCGTCCGAACGTGGTGTGTTTTGTACATTTTGAGTTGGAAATGTGCTTCGCGCCACAACGGCGTGCAATTTTTCATCTCTCCTCTGGCCAGCTGGCTCCGCACCCGCCGCTTTAGCGAGCCTACTTTTCGACCCTCCGGAGCCACAAATCATTGGAAAAACACAGTGAATCGCGACTTTCCTACGTTTTCGCGCATCTCCATCTTCTTTCTTCTTACTCTTTCTCTTCTACTCTTCTCTCTTCTGATCTTTCTCTTCTCTCTGCCTCTGCCCTGCTCTGCTCTTCATCTGTCCATATTGTCGGAAGTTTGACTTCTAAACTTCCTTCGAATAACGATAAGAACAGTAGTGACAATGATGATAATGACGATAATAATGACAATAGCGATGGGAATGATAAACATATGTGTATGTATATATATATATATGCCTATAAATATGTATGTGTGTTAGTGTTGACAGTATGAACACCCATTTTGGCTCATTCTGATGCGTTACTCAGACAATTCCAATTTGTAAGCCGTGGAAGAACTGGGTGAAATCTTGGAATCCCATGCGCCAGACGCTCAGGGCCATGATTTTGCAGCAGCTTGCTTCAGGTTGTTCCCAACAGAAAGCTGTTGGGTTTCAATCTCTAAGCTGGGGGTGGTATTTTGGCTTCTCCTTCCTTGCGTATAGGGACGCAGGGTTCTGGGAACCTTGGAACATTGTCTCCCAGCTGTCTCCCACTTGTCTTCCAATGGTCTCCGATAGTCTCCAGTTTACTTTGTCTCCGGCTTTTGTGTCTTCTATTATTCCACTACGCGCCAACTTTGTCCCTCACTCTGTCTCCCACTTTGTTTTCTCACTTTGTCCCCACTTTGTCTCAAACTTTGTCTCTGGCTGTGTCTTCCATCTTGTCTCCCAGCTCATCTCCCAGTGTATCTCCCGCTTTGTCTCCACTTTGTTTGCCATCCCCTTTTGTCCTCCTGTTGGTCCCCGCCTTGTCCCCCACTTGCTTCAGATTTTGTCTCCCACTTGGTATCCCCTTGTGTCCCCGACCTTGTCTCCCATGTGTATCCGACCTTGTCTCCCATGTGTCTCCGACTTTGTCCCCCACTTTGTCTCCCACCACCATGTTACCCACTTTGTTTCTCACTTTGTCTCGCGCTTTGTTTCTTCTTTTTTCCGCTTTGTCTCCAGCTTTGTCCCTCACTTTGTTCCAAATTTTGTATCTCACTGCGTCGCCGTTGTCTGTCATACTGCCTCCACGCTGAAAGTTCAAATGTGGCCAGCCATGGACGCTACCCGGAAACCTTCTCACCTGGAATTAGGAACCCTCACCGCTGTTGGGTTGCAAGTTGGGTTAATTTATGATGACGCCAATATTACAGAAAACCAGCCTTGAACCAGCACATGTCCTTGCTCCCCTGAGCTACAGCCAGCTCTTCAACAAGTTGCTCGGCATATCAAATCCCATGAGTTCATGGTAGTTGAATATATCGGTATGCCCGAATATCCCGCCAAGACCACCGCAACATAGCACGGGCCAGGTGAGAGCTACCCGCTGGGAATTTGGGTCTCCAGCTGGGCATCTGGTGAGCTGACTGCTAAAATGGCGCAGATCCTGATAGAAGAGAAGATGGGTTTTCACGTGCGCACGGGTGTGGGTACAGGCAGGGGGTCCTTAGGGGTCTTGTTCATCCACCATCACCACCTATATCGATCTCTCGCGGGCTTTTTGAGGCCGACCCTCTCCATTCAGCTTGGCACCGCCCTTGATACATTCACACACTAGAACCGAGAATGATCACTGAAGTGATCAGTTGGGAGTTGAATCCCTGCACGCAAAACACAACCAAACCATCGTGCCTAAGTAGACCCTTGACGAAATAAATGAACAAATATATATATATATTTGTTTCTTTGCTTGGAACTTGTGGAGAGCAAGTAATGTGTTGTCCACATAATTAGTTGCCGAAATGGCCATGCCATTTTGGCTCAAGTCCCCCGACCGAAGTAACAGTGTGAAAAACTATCCCTTCCTTGCCTTTTTGTCCTTGGACAGGTTTTCTTTGATTGACGCTTCTTCGACGGTTGGGGACAACTTTTTGATGTTGGAAACGCCCAAGTCTAGCAATGAGCAGTCGGATGTCCTGGCTGAGCACAAGACGCAGGCTTCATTTTGGGCGAGATGGGTGTGGAAATGACGAAGGAGGACTTGGACGCCCAGTTGCAGGAACTCCAGAAGACCGTGGCACGTCTGGGCATGGGCACCCATGCAACACCTGCGGCAGCCCCTAGGCACCCAGACATCTCCGTTGCCCCGGACATTGTTAGGGACAGTCTGCACCACCTCCTGCCGGATCATCTGGCGAACAGCCCACGCTCACCACCCTTGAGAATGAGGTGCTCGGACTGGCCTTTGAGAAGGGGGCCGGAACCTTTTTGATTGAGGGCTGGGAAACATTGCTCCCACCATCTGCCCGATATATTCGGATGGTGACCAACGTGGCCAGGCCTCCGGGGATACCTTGGCCCAGTTTGATGGCCATTCGGAGTCCTTGCCCTTCCCTCTCCCCATTGCCCCTTTGGGTTTTCCACGGTGACCAGCTTGGCGTCTTCTCCTTCGGGATGGGCAGCTGGACAACCGTTGTCCAAGTCTGTAGGATTGCCAACGATCGCCATTGCGCCCAGGGACAGAGGTGTGGGCCCCTGAGTGGCCAAGAGTCCTGCTGATGCCCCCTGTGCCCAGCAATTGTTGCACACTGGGACATCTTCATTGCCAGGTGATTGGCTCTGCCCTGAGTCAACAGAGCCCCCACGATCTGTGTGCCTGAAGTGCAAAAGGTGTCCAATTTTGCAGGGGCCATTTCTTCAAGAAGAAATGTCCAGGAAATTGAGGACGCTCCCAGAACTGCCCTGTGCTCAAGAATGGCTGGGTATGCAATGCTGTGCGAAGTGAGCACACTCCTGTTCAGCGCCCCAACCATTGACTCCTTCTGGCACCGATGCCCAAGAGATGAGTGGGGACACCTAGTGCGGGGATGGTGACGTTTCTATCCATCAACACACAGGTCAAAAGCGCCCCTCACCTGACTATCAGACGAATCAAAGTGATAACCAGACAAACTTTCTGGGGAGCATCCCTATATGAACCATTCTCACACCGGCAGGTACCAAGCAGCTCCCCTCCAACTTTGCCCATGGCTTGACTCAGTTCCCTCCAGCCTCTTGGAGGGGATCGAATCAACTTGTTGCTCCTCTATGTCGGACCTCAAGACACTGGACATGGGGGTTGGAGACTCCTTGGAAGAACAGATCGACACTAATAGATGGGCAGCCAATCTTTGATTGCAGGTGGAGCCCCTTGTGAAATTCTCTTCGATGTCCTGGTATGAGGTTCTGGTATGAGGCCCTACGCACAGAGTTGCTTCTATTTAAAGCAGTGACTTCCTACAACCCACACTGGGGCCTCCTGCCGGTGTGATAAAATTTTGAATTTTGGTGAACTGCAGCTGCAGGTCTGGCACTTGTCCAGGAGAACGGCGAAGATGTGGGAGCGGTTGGGCCACATACGGAGGGAGCAGCGGCAGCTGGGGCACCCTCGCCGCTTGCGCAGGGAGCAGCGACAACTTCAGCATCGGGAAGAGTCTTTTCTAAAGCGACCCAAGCTGAGTCAAATCACCGGTTCTGTAGTTTGTTGCGTGACATACTTTGTGACCCGTGGTGGCTCTCCTGGCTTTTGGGCCCAATGTCCGCGGTCTTCAATTTATGGACAGAGAGAGTGGACTCGTTCCACGATTGGCTCAAGAGCACCTCTCCTCCAAGTGCGTTTCCGGAAACACTTGGCCAGATTGAAGATGAGGTGGCGCAGGTACAAGTGGACGTGGTACAGGAGGAGGAGAATTTAGAAGTGAAACACCAGGAGGCAAAAAGGCTCAATGTGAAGGCAACGTGGACCTCTACAACTCTTTGACGTCATGGCTCTTCCGGAAGCCAATGCCAGACGAGTGAAGCAACCCAGATACATGTACCTAAATTAAACATGAATACTGTATAATATACTGTAATCTGAGTTTGGGACCTTGACCACTGTCAAGCGCAGTTTGTAGCTTTAACTCCTATTGGACTTCTGCATATGCTTCTTCGCTCTATTGAGCTGCTTCGCCTTATGGCTACTTCGCCATGTGGCTACTGGTGTCTTGTTCCACACGAGGTGGAATGTCTTTGTCTTAGAAGACCGTTTTTGCTATACTCGAAGTAAAGACGGCTTCAAGTTGTGAACATTCACGACTCACTCTGAATACGGGAAAATGCCCGCTATTCGGTCGATCGAAACCAACCGTCGGCATGACCAAGTGAGGTCAAATGCCCATGACACACTGCAGATTGGGGGTTTTGTGGAGGTACTGTTGATAGACCTTGTCCTCGCCTTGAGGATTCCTGAGTTATTGCATCCTTAATGAGCAAGATTCCGCATGCTGGGTTCGTGGCTTAGTCCAGTTGCCATAAATCACAGGAAATTTCTCAACGTACAAACGAAACCAACAACATTGTGAAAGATCGATCTCAGGAGTCTTTGACATATAAAAACCTTGTTAGAAATATATTTGCAGGTACACATCCATGGCCAGTGGAGAGAGCTCTGTCCCCCTGCATTTCACGAGTGGACAGTTGACCTATTACTACTTGTTTGTTACAACAAGACACACACACACACACACCCACAAACACGCGCACACACACACATATATATATATATATATATACATACCAAACATTTTTTGATTACACCGTATATAGTTGCACCATGCAGCTGAGATTAAAACCGATTGCGTTATGTTATGTTGCAGTCTGTTTTCAATATTATTGTAGCACAAAAAATGGAAAGATACTCCAACTTGCAGATGGTTTTCCAAATGTCCATTTCACATCATCACCACTTTACGTCACCGCTTCGCATCGCCACCAATTCCACATCATCACCACTATATCACCACTTCACATCAAGGTGACAGTTGCTCGTGTGTTTGTTGTGAACTTGGCGACAAACGAGGGGAAATGTTAGTGATGTGACCATTGTCCGCCAGTCACTTTGGAACAGCTGTGGGCCATCACTGGGTGCAAGACGCCTAGAAACCGTTCGGATCCTGGCTGTGGATCCGATGGCCCGACACTTGGAAATGTTTTATGTGTAAAAAATGTGATTTTGTGAATTCTCGACAACTTTTGCATTGCAGATTTGGTAGGAATCCCATGGAATCCCACCTACTACCAGTAGTACAGTACCCGCACGAGGCGGGGCGGAAGTTGCCTTAGGGATATACTATAAGCCCTTTTTCATCTATAGAACTTGCATGGGCCGTGCGCCAGCCAGGCCCACTGCATGCGTGCATTTTGCGAAAGTTGTGTCCTGCTTCACATGTCACATTTGAAGCTCCACTTCGCACTTCACACTTCTCACTGCACTCTTCACACTCCACACTTCACACTCCACACTTAACACTTCACACTGCACTCTTCGCACTCCACACTTCACTTCACACTGCGCTCTTAAGACTCCACGCTTCACACTTCTCACTGCTTTCTTCAGACTCCACGCTTCACCCTTAACTCTCCGCACTTCACTCTTCACACTTACACTGTGCTCTTCACGCCCCACACTTCACACTGCACTCTTCACACTCCACACTTCACACTCCACACTTCACACTTCACACTGCACTCTTCGCACTCCACACTTCACTTCACACTGCACTCTCAAGACTCCACGCTTCACACTTCTCACTGCTTTCTTCAGACTCCACGCTTCGCCCTTCACTCTCCACACTTCACTCTTCACACTTACACTGCGCTCTTCACGCCCCACACTTCACACTGCACTCTTCACACTCCACACTTCACACTCCACACTTCGCACTTCATCTCATCTGAGCTCTTCTCACCTTATCCCAGCTCATCTCTTCTCATCTCATCTCTTCTCATATGTCATCTCAGCTTTCATGAACCACTTCCCAGTACTACTTCGAGAACTTGCATGCGCCGTGCGCCAGCCAGGCCCGTGCGTGCGTGCTTTGTGCGAAGCTGTTGCAGTGTTGTTGTCCAAGAACATGACCTGCGCGCGACCCCGGTGCAATGCAACGTCAAGCAAACACTTTCCTCTCACTTCACATTATATTCTTCACACCCCACACTTCACACTTCACACTTGCACTTCATCTCAACTCATCTCATCTGAGCTCTTCCCATTTCATTTCATGTCTTCCCATATGTCAGCTAAGTTCTTCTTGGCTATTTTCATGTCATCTGAGCGCAGCTCAACCTTTCTTATCTCACCGAAGCTAGTCTCAACTCATCTCGGCTCTTCTGCGCGTCAGAAAGCTTGAGACACAGATGAATTTACACAGAAGAGTCTTTACAAAATACTTTGTACTACAAAGCTTGCAGAAAGCACTTCCTAGTACTACTTTGTACTACACAGCCTGCACAAAGCACTTCCCCGTACTACTTTGTACTACAAAGCTTGCACAAAGCACTTCCCAGTACTACTTTGTACTACAAAGCTTGCACAAAGCACTTCCCAGTACTACTTTGTACCACACAGCTTGCACAAAGCACTTCCCAGTACTACTTTGTACTACAAAGCTTGCACAAAGCACTTCCCCGTACGACTTTGTACTACAAAGCTTGCACAAAGCACTTCCCAGTATTACTTTGTACTGCAAAGCTTGCACAAAGCACTTCCCAGTACTACTTTGTACTACACAGCTTGCACAAAGCACTTCCCAGTACTACTTTGTACTATAAAGCTTGCACAAAGCACTTCCCAGTACTACTTTGTACTACAAAGCTTGCACAAAGCACTTCCCAGTACTACTTTGTACTACACAGCTTGCGCAAAGCACTTCCCAGTACTACTTTGTACCACACAGCTTGCACAAAGCACTTCCCAGTACTACTTTGTACTACAAAGCTTGCACAAAGCACTTCCCCGTACGACTTTGTACTACAAAGCTTGCACAAAGCACTTCCCAGTACTACTTTGTACTACAAAGCTTGCACAAAGAACTTCCCAGTACTACTTTGTACTACAAAGCTTGCACAAAGCACCTTCCAGTACTACTTTGTATTCCAAAGCTTGCACAAAGCACTTCCCAGTACTACTTTGTACTGCACAGCTTGCACAAACCACTTCCCTTATACACAGTGTTTTTACACATGGCAAGCATTTGCACGCACAGAAACTTTTACACAGAGACGCTTTACACACAGAGAAACTTTTACACACAGCAAACTTTTACACACAAAATCTTCTACACACAGCAAGCTTTCACACACAGCAAGCGTTTACACACAGAACACTTCCACACAGTGCTTTTACATATGGCAAGCGTTTACACACACAGCAAGCTTTTTAAACAGAGAAGCTTTTACACACCGCAAGCTTTTACACAGAGAATCTTTTACACACAGCAGGCAACCACACACACACAGCAAGCGTTTACACACACACAGCAAGCTTTTTAAACAGAGAAGCTGCTACACACAGAGAAGCTTTTAAACACCGCAAGCTTTTACACACCGCCAGCTTTTACACAGAAAATCTTTTACACACAGCAAGCAACCACACACAGCAAGCGTTTACACACAGCACTTACACACAGTGTTGTTACACATGGCAAGCATTTACACACACACGCACAGCAAGCTTTTTAAACAGAGAAGCTTTTACACACAGAGAAGCTTGTACACACCGCAAGCTTTTGCACACAACATCTTTTACACACACAGCAAGCGTTTACACACAGCACTTACACACAGTGCTTTTACATATGGCAAGCGTTTACACACACACACACACGGCAAGCTTTTTAAACAGAGAAGCTTTTACACACAGAGAAGCTTTTACACACCGCAAGCTATTTTACACAGAAAATCTTGTACACACAGCAAGCAACCACGCACAGCAAGCGTTTACACGCAGCACTTACACACAGTGTTGTTACACATGGCAAGCATTTACACACACACAGCAAGCTTTTTAAACAGAGAAGCTTTTACACACAGAGAAGCTTTTACACACAGCAAACTTTTACAGACAAAATCTTCTACACACAGCAAGCTTTCACACACAGCAAGCGTTTACACACAGAACACTTACACACAGTGCTTTTACATATGGCAAGCGTTTACACACACAGCAAGCTTTTTAAACAGAGAAGCTTTTACACACAGAGAAGCTTTTACACACCGCAAGCTTTTACACAAGCGTTTACACACACAGCAAGCAACCACACACAGCAAGCGTTTACACACAGAACACTTACACACAATGCTTTTACACATGGCAAGCATTTACACACACACAAACTTTTACACACAGGAATTGCAGCTCCAAAACCGGATCTCGGCGCCAAAGCGAACAAAGGATATTTTGAAACACTTTTTAAAAAGGATTTTTAAAATGAAAATTGCTAGCGCCCAAATTGCGAAGATCTGCTCACAAATCACTTGCGCAGCCTTGATGCAGCCACTCCAATACGATTTACGAGATCCAGCTGCAAAAGACTAAAATATTACGCACGCAGCCGCGGCACCAAGCAACCTTGACGCAGCCACTACAATGCGATCTGCAACCACAGCTTCAAGAAACGCATAGAACTACGCACACAGGAACAACCACTCGTTGCAGAACACAGAGGAGGAACCAATCGCGTCCGGAACGACCGCAGCCGCAACCGCCGCACACACGAGGTACCTTTCATCGCCGGCTGCAGCCACTTTACACGGAAAAGCACAAGGTTTCGTTCTCCAGCTACCTCCCCAAAACAAAGCCCATGCAACCTTGATGCAGCCATTCCAATGCGATCTGCAACCACAGCTTCAAGAAACGCATAGAACTACCCACACAGGAGCAACCACTCGTTGCAGAACACCAGAGGAGGAACCAATCGCGTCCGGAACGACCGCAGCCGCAACCGCCGCACACACGAGGTACCTTTCATCGCCGGCTGCAGCCACTTTACACAGAAAAATGCAAGGTTTCGTGCTCCAGCTTCCTCCCCAAAACAAAGCCCATGCAACATTCATGCGGCCATTCCAATGCGATCTGCAACCACAGCTTCAAGAAACGCATAGAACTACGCACACAGGAACAACCACTCGTTGCAGAACACAGAGGAGGAACCAATCGCGTCCGGAACGACCGCAGCCGCAACCGCCGCACACACGAGGTACCTTTCATCGCCGGCTGCAGCCACTTTACACGGAAAAATGCAAGGTTTCGTGTTCCGGCTTCCTCCCCAAAACAAAGCCCATGCAACATTCATGCATCCTCACCACTTCCCTTCGTCATCACTTCCCAAAGTCACCACTTCCCTTCATCACCACTTCCCTTCGTTACATCACCACTTCCCTTCGTCACCACGTCCCATGGTCACCACTTCCCTTCCTCACCACTTCCCTTCGTCACCACCCTGCGTCATAGCTTCTTATTCTTTTGTTATGTATTGTTATGTTATGTATTGTTATGTGATCTACCACCCTTCATCAAGGTCCATTCCATTGCTTCTTATTCTTTTGTTATGTATTGTTATGTTATGTATGGTTATGTGATCTACCACCCTTCATCAAGGTCAATTCCATAGCTTCTTATTCTTTTGTTATGTATTGTTATGTTATGTATTGTTATATGATGTACCACCCTTCATCAAGGTCAATTCCATCAGGTAAAAGTCATTCGTAACTCGGAGGTATTGCTTCCCAACCTCCTTTGATAATTTAAGACAACTGATGATGACAACTGATGATGACAGAGAAGTCAGGCCCCTTTTGCTCCGCCTGCCTCAGGAAGCAGACTTATTTCCATGTGGGCCTCGAAGGTTGGACAAACCGCAACGCAGAGATTTGGGACCTAATTCAAACCAATTTCCCAACAACTGCTCCTGTGAATCTTGGTCATATTGGCTACGATGGACAATCAGGGCAGTTCATTTCATTAGAGGTGATGCAGAGGGCATATCGCGCTACAGGGCTGGCTTTAGAGTTCTACCGCAGCTACGATGCTGCGTGGAATGATCCAGGAGTGCACTTCGATAGGATCACGGCTGTAGACAGTTCCCAGCTGAAACCATGCAACGAAACAATGCTCTCGGAGTCATCAATCATGCAGAAATATGCCGAACTTACTGGAGATTGGGACGGAGTGGAGGAGGTGGATGGCAAAGTGAGGGGCAAATGCTTCTCTGAGCACTTCTGGTTTCCACCCCCTTGCCGGGCGGATGCAACAAAGTGTTTCCTATTCATCACAGCTCTGGGGTACGAATTTGAAGTGACGATGCAAAGAGCAACCATCTTCAACATGCCAATCGTACCCGTAGATGCAAAGGATTGGGACACATACGCGCGCCTGCCCAAGACTGTAACCAGTTTATTCTTCTGGTGGCAGCCAGATCCTACGTTCCTAGGTCTGAACGCAAAGATGGTGTCATTTCCTTCCTTCAATCGCACAGACTTTGCGCGGGGACTGGTGACTTCTGCTTCCACCGGTATTCAGCTCGAAGCTTGGTTGTTGATTGCTGCGGTACCGCGTGGTACCTATTTAAGTGATCCCGGGCTGCCACATGTTTGTTATTTGTCAGGTTATCATGTCGATCGCGTCTGTGCTGCCGCCATTTGCCAACAATGCTCCCCAAACAAATCACTCCGCCCTGATTATCCACGCTATGTGCAAGGACACAGCAACTCTTGAGGTATGCCAAGGGTCGAAACCACACTACCTCTTTCAGAAGCAGAGGATTGCCCAAAGGCCCACATGTTCACTGTAATTAAATTTAATTTACTGCAAACATTTATTATTTACTGTTCTCATGTATTGTGGGTTACAGTTTTCTGGTGGTAGGAAAAACGGGGTTCTCAACACAAGCATTCCCGAGCACGCTCAGACTCCACGTAGGCGTAGGCCCGGGCTTGGTATGTCTCTGGGGTGGTTTTTTGCTCTTGTCTTATCTCGTTTCCACCGCAAAGATGCATGAATACGTTTTCTGGAGTTGCGCCATCTAATTTCCACCGAAACGATCCAAAATGTAGCGGAAACTCAGAAATCAGTGAGTAGACAGTGCAGCTCAAAGTGTGCCATCTATCCATTTAGTTTTCTGATGTTTTCTGTTTTATTTTAGTGGTAATGACCCTAAATTTTAATTTGTTCCACTTTTCAAAATGACAATTCGGTAATTAAATCTACGCGAACGGTGATTTGGGATCACAACATGGTCAGCACAGATGGGGCAACTCGTGAGAGACCCAAGATGCATCAACAAGATGCATCAAAGATGCAATATGCAGGCAGAATATGGCAGAATCACCTTTCCCCATCTTTCTCCCAGTTTTGGCGCTGAAAGTGCTTTTGGGAGCTACTGAAACCCAGACTCCTGCGCATTGCTCGCTTTCTTGGAGATGTGAGGACAAATATGTCAGCCGTGATCTCGACGTTCTTGCGCCAAGAGTGCGGGAGTTGATCAGTGCCTTCTACCTGAGCATGGATGCGTCCTGGCTGAGCTGGCTCGATCTGCCCTAGGTCCCTGGAGCTATCAAATGTGCTTCAGGAATATTCTTCCCGACCTGGGGCCTTCCTTTTTGTGTGAAAATTCATGATAATCATGTTGGGTGAAATCATCTCGTGCCCAAAAGATCCGAAAGGGGAGAAGCAAGGCCTAAGGGGTAGGCACCGATGATTACTGCAGCGCTGAGGCTTTGAATCAACTCCTACTGACTCAGAAGATTCACAGCAGTTCTGCTACCAGGATTTGCTTCGAAGTCTTTTCTTTTGTCTTGCAGTGGTAGACCGCTCATTTTCACGTTTGAAGACAGACCTCAACCAATATTTTCGTGGGTGTATGTTAGCTGTATCGTAGCTGTTTGGGGGTAACTGCGGTAGCCGCGGTAGCTGTTCTGTGGATATCATCCCGATGGATTTACCAAGGCCATGGAGGTTGCCTGCAGTTGGTTGCAATCGAATCGCAAGATTTGGGAGCAGTGGCTGCCAGACACCACCAAGTGTTTCGCGCAGTTCGGGCTCTTCAACCAGGTGACAGAAACTAAGCAGGGCCAAGTTGCAGCAAGCCTTTCAGGATTCTTTCACCTGATCATCAACGCCCACTAGAAACCATGGTTCTGTTTTGAATCTATCCGCCCATGTATATATAATATATGATGATGTATGTATACACATGGGAGAGGAGATTCTTTGGTGGTTCCTTGAGCTTCCCCCTCAGTAAAATCACTTAGGAGGAACGGATCCTCTCAAGACAAATCAAGAACCAAAGGCAGAGCCTACAGGCCTACAGGATAGATCTAGATCGAGAAAACACGCAGAACATTTGATCTCATTCGATTTATCACATTATGATATTGAATCCCCGCTGGTGGTCTAACTTGGTAATAGAAATTCACGATCTCTACTGTAATGGGAACATTTGGGAACATATTGGAACATGGAATTTCATCGCCCTGCCACGTTTCCCAATGTTGCCCTCCAGTGGTCGGGCAGCAATGCCCATGTGTTTTACACCCAACTGATTTTGATTAATTACAGGAGAGAAGGATAACCAACCATTGGACTTCAGGGGTGGCCCATTCTTGGATTTGCCACCAAACCCCAACGCTATTGAGTCAGGAATAGCAATGCCTCAATCAAAGCTCCGCCAAGATGGGTCTCCCAAAATGGTCTCTTCCATTGAATTTGGGATGCCCACCGGGCTTCAAAGAGTTCTGACCCAGCAATGCTCGTGTCCATTTTCCTTCATTTGATTTGAATTCAACGGATCAACTACTAGGAAGTCTTCGTGGACAACAGGGAAGGTGATGTCAGCAACTTGCTTTGCAAGGCCAACGCAACTTGCTGTTTGAAACAGCCACAGTTGATGCTGATCTTTTGATGCATTTCGTTGTTTTTGCTTTCCTTGTATGGCTGCTAGCTTTGGTGTCGGCATGTCCAGTGCTCCTCAATCTCCTCCGCCCTGCTCCGCCGTCTCTGTCAAATTCAATTCTATGAAACTTACCTTCGTGCTCATGTTTTGCGTAGCAGGCAGGGAAGGTTTGCGCTTGTCCGCCGGGTGGTCGTAGGTCACCGCGCGACCCTGTGGTTTTGCACAGCAGACGCGGTTTCTTGCTTTTTTACATTTCTTTACATCGTATTCAGTGATGTTTTGTGTAGGTGGAGCACTTGATGCGCCGCGCTTGTGTTAAACGGGGATGCGGCACCTCGTGCCTGTCTATTAGTGGCTTGCGGTTTTCTTTGCACGCGTCACCGCGGGACCCCGCTGTGATTTGCCTGGCTCCCGGCTGTGTTTCGGGTGGCAAGTGCGGCGCTTGGTGTTTGTCCCAATTTTGCATCGTAGGTGCGCCATTTCGTGGGTCCAAATGTATCAACCTACCTCGCTCGAACTCCTTTGACCTTATCTATGCCAACTTTGTTGTCAAACCTGTCTCCATCAACCTATTCCTTCAAACTTCTTCGCATCAAACTTATATGAATCAAAGTTGTCTCAGCTTTTATCCTGAAGCGGGGCCCATCTCAACGTTGTATACCAACTTATCGTTGTCACTCTTGTATCTATGCTCCAGAGAGCTCTCCTCAAACATTCTTTTCTTCATGGCTTTGCATCCTACAAGGCAGCTTAAGAAGTGAGATGAAGTGAGGCTGTCAGGCCATCGTCCAACATTTTCCCTGCAAGGCCTGCCCCTCTGGCTCCTTTTCTACATACATTCGGGACGACAAGGGTCTGACCCATGTTTGCAAACCTTGTGCTGTGGGCCACGCGCAAACCTCTGGCGCTTCCACAGCATGTGGGCCATGCGCTTTAGGAGAACACCAGGAGGCGTGGCAGGGCCATCTCGTGTTGGAGGATAAGATAATGTAACTAACTAAGAAACCTACCATGTGCGAACACATTATATGGTGATAATGTTAGTAGAGCAAAATCAAACCATCCTAATCCTACCATTGCTGACGCAAGTAGTGTCCAGCATTTTGGGCTACACCGGTTACACTTACACTGGTTGCACCGGTTATACCGGTTACACCGTTACACTGGTTACACATGGTTACACCGTTACACCGGTTACACCGTCGCACCGGTTACACCATTTCAGCGTATCCGCGTATCAGCGTACCAGTGTAACAGCATATCAGCTTATCAGCGAATCAGCGTAACAGCGTAGCAGTGTATCAGCGTATCAGCGTACTACCCTTGCAAGGTTGTAACCTTTGCAGCTACTCAGCGTATCAGCGTATCAGAGTCGAACCACGTCCGGACACGCATTGCCACCGCTCTCATTTTAGCATCAACATATGGATGGTTTACAACTGTTGACCTGCTACATCTCTCATATCTCTCGGTCCCAACCTAGTCGTTTGAAACAACCAACTATGTCTTATCACATACCGTCTGGTAATTTAACATAGCTATGGAAAATTCACCGTTTTTACTAGGTAAATCAACTATAAATGGGCTATTTTCATCTATTTTCCATCGCTATGTTCGCAGGAAGTTTAGAAGTCAAACTTCCGACAATATGGACAGATGAAAAGCAGAGCAGGGCAGAGGCAGAGAGAAGAAAAAGATCAGAAGAGAGAAGAGTAGAAGAGAAAGAGTAAGAAGAAAGAAGATGGAGATGCGAGAAAAGGTAGGAAAGTCGCGAAACACTGTGTTTTTCCAATGATTTGTGGCTCCGGAGGGTCGAAAAGTAGGCTCGCTAAAGCGGCGGGTGCGGAGCCCGCTGGGCAGATGAGAGATGAAAACTTGCACGCCGTTGTGGCGCGAAGCACATGTCGAAGTCAAAATGTACAAGAATGTACAAAACACACCAGCTCCGGACCACTTCTGGAAGTTGAGCTGTCGAAAAAGTGCACGCCGTTGTGGCGCAAAGCACGTTTCGAAGTCAAAATGTATCAAAATGATTCCAAATGTACAAAGCACACCATTCTCCGACCACTTTTGGAAGTTGAGCCGTCGAAAAAGTGCACGCCGTTGTGGCGCGAAGCACATTTCGAAGTCACAATGCACAAAGCACACCAGGTTCGGACCACTTTTGGAAGTTGAGATGTCGAAAAAGTGCACACCGTTGTGGCGCGAAGCACATTTCGAAATCAAAATGTACAAAACACACCAGCTCTGGACCATTTTTGGAAGTTGAGCTGTCGAAAAAGTGCACGCCGTTGTGGCGCGAAGCACATTTCGAAGTCAAAATGTTCAAAACACCAGATCAGATGTTGTTTCGCGTGGCATGCGCAAGGGAGCGTGCACCTTGTCAAAAGTGAGCAAACCGTGAGGGTTTTGTAGAATTTCCAAAAACGATGGCAGGCGTTGGACATTTGAAGAGGATCTGCAAAGATGAATTTTCCGTGGCAGTACAAGAGACATGTTTACCAGAGATGTTAGGAGGTCCCTGATTTCCTGAGAGGGGTTCATTTTGGAGCCTCAGATCTTCAGGTTTGCTGAGATGATTTTGCGTGACAGGTGCAGCACTTCGTATGACCTGGCACCACTTTTTCGTGGTAGGCAGGCGCGCTACTTTAGACAGGTGGAGTGGACAAATCACAAAACGCATTGGTACGAGGCCGTCAGCTCTGCACTCAACTTTCCATTTTTGGAGGACGTCTCGCAGAATTGCTTCGTTTTTGATGTTGTCAAAATTGAAAAATGAGGAAGTCTCGCAGAATTGCTTCGTTTTTGACGTTGTCAAGTGCAAAAATTGAGGAAGTCTCGCTGAACTGCTGCGTTTTTGATGTTGCCAAGTTCAAAAATTCAGGAAGTCTCGTAGAATAGCTTCGTTTTCAAGCGTGCAGATAGACAGATAGATAGAGAAACAGAGAGAGAGAGAGATAGAGAGATAGATGGATGGATGGATGGATAGATGGATGGATGGATAGATGGATAGATGGATAGATGGATAGATGGATAGATGGATAGATGGATAGATGGATAGATGGATAGATGGATAGATAGATAGGTAGATAGATAGATAGATAGATAGATAGGTAGATAGATAGATAGATAGATGGAGAGATGGAGAGATGGAGAGATAAATTGATAGATAGATACATAAATAGATAGATAGATAGATAGGTAAATTAATAGATTAGGTAGATAGACAGACAACTACTACGATAACAACTACAACTGTAACTGTAACTGTAACTGCAACTACAACTACAACTACAACTACAACATCAACTACTACTACTACTACTACTACTACATCTACTACTACTACTACTACTACAACATCAACTACTACTACTACTACTACTACTACTGCTACTGCTACTGCTACTGCTACTGCTACTGCTACTGCTACTGCTACTGCTACTACTACTACTATTACTACTACTACTACTACTACTACTACTACTACGACTACGACTACTACGACTACTACTACTACTGCTACTGCTACTGCTACTGCTACTGCTGCTACTACTGCTACTACTGCTACTACTGCTACTACTACTAATACTACCACCACCACCACCACCACGACGATGACGACGACGACGACGACTACTACTACTACTACTACTACTACCACCAAATCTACAGCTACAAGTACAACTACACGACATTACACTGCACTACACTAATTCCACTGCAGCACACTACAACTACAAATATACATGCAACTACAACTACTGCACAACATTACACAACACTACACAACACTACACTACACTAATTACATTGCATTACGCTACATCTACAACTGCAACTGCAACTACAATTACAACTGCCACTACATTGCACTACGCTACACTACACTAACCACACTACAGTACACAACAACAGTACACTACAATACACTACAAGATTCTACACTAATTACACCACACCACAGCTACAACTGCAACTTCAACTGCAACGACGCTACACTAATTACATCACATTAGAACTACAACTTACAACTACAACTCACCTACACCACACCACAACTACAACTGCAACTACAACTGCAACTACACCACACTACATCCAACAGTTGTGGTGAGGTGACCACTGCAACCATTGCAGCCACTCCAGAAAACACAACTCCAACCACCTTTCCGTCCATCAGTGGATTCGCTCTGCCATCCGTGATTCACAACAACCAACCTCTCCTATGGTCCTATAGGTTTCCTATGTTTGAAACTTCCGCCACCGCCTTGTGCGGTACTACTGGTAAATTACTAGAGGGTATGTGATGTGGCTTGTGGGGATCTCGTCTCCTCCAGGAGCTTGGAGCTTCCTTTTGTAGACGCTGCACCTTTGGCACATATCAAAATGTCACAGGGCAAAGTCAATGCACACAGTGTCCCGGCGAGCGGACCACCATGGGACTGGGCTCACAGTCATTGGCTGAATGCGTTTGCAAAACCGGATCTATGGAGACTTGGGCCTATGTTTGACGATATGTGGCCATGTTTGTAGCATATGTCACAGTATGTATGCATAAGATGTTGCAGTGGCAGATGGCTGGAGTTCCAAGTCTTCATGGATTGAGGACGTGGACGGGCAGTGCCTGCCCTGTGGCAAGGGTCTCTCGTGCCCAATCGGCAGCACCATTGCAGGGCTGACCTTGTTGCCCTCTGCCAACGTCAGCAATTTAGATGTCGAACGCCCTTTTATAAAGCCAGGAAGCTGCGTCTGCACTGAGGGTCTAATGTTGTCTCAACATACAAGAGGGAGGGGCAGTTCAAGGCATATGAAGATAAGGAAACCGGTCATCTATTCTCCCCAAATAATGTATATTGACAATACTCGCCGTATTTGGGTTGGATTCTCTTGCATACAGATTTATGACGATTTATGCATATTTATATGGTTAGTTTTCATCTGGGTTTCATGATTTTTCACAATTTAAAGGCAAGCCCAAAAATTAGGTATCCAACTGCTCCGCGTTGCATTTGCTTTATAAGCAGATATGGTTCTTCTGCCGCCCCCCCACGCTGCATTCATTTGCCCGAAGTGGAACGTGGAACGTCGAATCACGGCGAAGCACGTGTGCAAGCGTCAAAAACGCCGCCCGCCCCACTCCACACCACCCCGAGATGGATGAAGTAAGAGAATGCAAGAGATGTCTGCAAGATTCTGCAAGTGTGAGTCCGTCCATGTGCATGGGTGGGTCAGATCGGTGTGCGTGGCTGAGTGGCGTACATCCCTGACCGAGGATTTAACAGTCTCCCGGAGGCTCCGCTCACCATCTATCAATGCCGAGACCATTGTCCAGGCCAGTTTAAAACTTGCAATATTGTAGAGCTTCGCACACTGGCGATGCCCTTCGAGTTGGAGGCGTTCGCGGCTGTCAAGCTGAGGAGTTTGTGTTGGCAGCACAGGTTTGAACAGGGTTGGTATTGCAGGGAAGCTGAGGGCCCAGAGCAGCAGAGATAGACCGAAAGTGTGATCAAGTCCCCGGAGAAGGGCAGAGTGCTGCGGGTAGCGCGAAAGAGGAGGGCAGATAGCAAACATGCGTGTGCAGAGCACCAGAGTTGAGCAAGGGTGTTTGTGGATAGAGTCACATGCAGAGAAAGCTGCAAAAGACACATGGCAGTGAGTGGAAAGGTTCGGCGCGGCAAGCGGGGCTACTCCGCGATGGCAAAAGACGCACATATGCACGTGTAAGTGTACCATAATTGAGCTTTTGTGCAGCTTCGCGCTTCCCCAACTGCTCAAGTCCGCGCTTGTTCTTGTTCATCTTGTTCATCTTGTTCTTGTTGTACTACTTGTTGTTGTTGTTGTTGTTGTTGTTGTTGTTGTTGTTGTTGTTGTGGTTGTTGTGGTTGTTGTCGTTGTTGTCGTCGTTGTTCTTGCAACACATCTTATTTTCGCATTTTTGCGGGCAATAGGTGGTGTTTTCGCGTTGTTTTGACACTCTCGGAGCCAAAAAACAGCGTAAATACCGATGTTTTGGGCGCCTCGGAAGCCCAAAACCACGGTATTTACGATTTGTTTAGCTTCTGGTAGCAGGAATCACGGTATTTACAATGGTTGTTGGCTAGTGCCTAGCAAAAAAACACTGGTATTTACGCAGTTTTCAGCATGTTGCAAGAAGTACTTTTCCATGCCAAAGGCACAAAAACACTGTAATTTATAGTGTTTTGGCTCTTGGCGTGCGCAAACAAAAAGAGCAAGCATCCGCCAAAAAGGGCTTAAAATGACCTACAGAAAGCATCTTGTAATTGTTTTTTCCAAGCCCCGAGAAACCTGAAAACACAACTAGGGTGAAGGATTTTTGGGGGTCGTCGGCAGAGGGGCGCCCCCGGGTAGCTCAAGCTAGCTGCAGGCTACCGCCACCACACGGCGGCATCGCCGGATTTAAGGGCTTACGCACGACAGCCGGCCAGGGGCCCACGTGAGGGAAAAGAATCATAAAGAGATCAGAAAGAAGAATTGAGGGTAAAGGATTGTGATTCTTGTTTTTGTTGTTGTTGTTGCTGTTGCTGTTGCTGCTGCTGTTGTTGTGGTGGTGGTGGTGGCGGTGGTGGTGGTTGTGGCCCATCCGCAAGGCCTGTAGTAGGCGCATCTTGGGGCGAGGTTGGCCCAGCTTGTGGCTATGTTGGCCCCTCTTGGACCAGCTTGGGGCCATCTTAGGGGCTATGTTGGCCGTCTTCGAGCTATGTTGACCCATCTTGGGGGCTATGTTGGCCCATCTTGGGGCTATGTGGGCCCATCTTGGGGCTATGTTGGCCGATCTTGGGGGTATATCGGCACAGCTTGCGGCCCATGTTAGGCCATCTGGCGGCTATGTTGGGCCAGCGTCGGCGCATTTTGGGGCTTATGTTGAGCCATGTTGACCCATCTTGAGCCACAAGATCGAAAAATTAGGAAAGCCACAAAACACTGTAAATTGCGTGACTTTGGTAGGGTCGGCGGCAGGCCCCCTCTCTTGTATGGAGAGGAGAGAATGCCGTATGGCAGTTCCACGGCATGGCCGCGGGGCCATGGGGCCGCTGGCCGGATTTAAGAGCTTACGCCCAGGGGCCCACCCATGGGGAATGAGGAAGGGGAAAAAGGAAACCAAAAAAAAGGTAAGAAGGAAAGGGCCAGACAGTGGAGCAATGGGTGGTTGGGGGTTGTGGTTTGTGTTTGTGGTTGTGGTTGTGGTTGTGGTTGTGGTTGTGGTTGTTGTGGTTGTGGTTGTGGTTGTGGTTGTGGTTGTGGTTGTTGTTGTTGTTGTTGTTGTTGTTGTTGTTGTTGTTGTTGTTGTTGTTGTTGTTGTTGTTGTTGTTGTTGTTGTTGTTGTTGTTGTCGTTGTCGTTGTCGTTGTCGTTGTCGTTGTTGCTGTTGTTGTCGCTGTTGATGTTGCTGCTGTTGTTGTTGTTGCTGCTGTTGTTGTGGTGGTGTTGTTGTTGTGGTTGCTGTTTGTTGGTTGTTGGTTGTTGTTTGTTGTTTGTTGGTTGTTGGTTGTTGGTTGTTTGTTGGTTGTTGGTTGTTGTTTGTTGTTTGTTTGTGGTCAGTCAGTCCCTCGCTTAGGCCTACGTTTTGGCTCGCTTAGGACTACGTTTGTGATATATGGCTACAGTATCAATAGAAACATATATAGATGTATTTGAACATGACTTCAACAGGCTTGTACATGTGTGACAGAGATGATCATCAGGACATTTTCATTCAATCATATGAATAAGAAGATGTTACAACGTATCAGGACTGTATTTCAAGTGCTTTGACGGAGAGTTGAGAACGTATCGGGAACATTTTGCAAGTTACTTGTGGAATATCATACAACGTCTTAGGAACGTCTGGCATGTTACTGGACAAAGATGTTATACCAGGAACATCATTCAAGGTTCTTCAAGAAGCTGTGACAACGTGCCAGGAACGTCTTGCAAGTTACTTGCAGAAGATTTCACAACGTATCAGGAACGTGTTGCAAGTCACTAGAAGAAGATGTTACAACGTATCAGGAACATCTGGCAAGTTACTTGAAGAAAATATTACAACGTATCAGGAAGGTCGTGCAAGTTACTTACAAGTAGGAAGATGTTGCAACATATCAGGAACATCATTCAAGCTACTTGAAGAAGATTTGACAACGTACCAGGAATGTCGCGCAAGTTACTTGAAGAAGATGTGACAACTTGCCAGGAACGTCTTGCAAGTTACTTGCAGAAGATTTCACAACGTATCAGGAACGTGTTGCAAGTCACTAGAAGAAGATGTTACAACTTACAACGTATCAGCAACATCTGTCAAGTTAGTTGAAGACGAGTTTACAACGTATCAGGAACGTCTCGCAAGTGACGTACAAGAAGAAAGATGTTGCAACATATCAGAAACGTCTTGCATGTTACTTGGCGAAGATGTTACAACATATCAGGAACATCATTCAAGCTATATACTTGAAGAAGATTTGACAACGTACCAGGAATGTCGCGCAAGTTACTTGAAGAAGATGTGTTAACGTGCCAGGAACGTCTTGCAAGTTACTTGCAGAAGATTTCACAACGTATCAGGAACATCTGTCAAGTTAGTTGAAGAAGAGTTTACAACGTATAAGGAACATCGTGCAAGCTACTTACAAGTAGGAAGATGTTGCAAGTATCAGGAACGTCTTGCATGTTACTTGACGGGAAGATGTTGCAACGTAGCAGGAACGTCTTGCATGTTACTTGACGAAGATGTTACAACATATTTCAGCAACATAATTCAAGTTACTTGATGAAGATGGGACAACGTGCCAGGAAAAGCGTGCTCAACGACCACAACGTGGACAACGCAGTCGCAAGAAGTTCGGTACGGGTTGGTAGTTTGAATAGATAAAATGAGCAGATATTACCCAAGAATTAGCGGGAATTTGTCTGATGGATTATTTGCCTAAGTATAAACAGGTCCCCCCAAGTGTCCCCAAGTGTTAACCTAAAGGTCTGTATCCCATGGAGTAGGTTCCCTAAACCCACCCCATGTCCCAGGCCAATTGTCTCCAAGTGTCCCCTAAACCCACCCCAAGTGTTTCCAAGTGTCCCCAAGTGTCCCCTAAACCCAAGTGTCCCCAAGTGTCCCCTAAACCCACCCCAAGTGTCCACCCCAAGTGTCCCCCCCAAGTGTCCCCAAGTGTTAACCTAAAGGTCTGTACCCCATGGCGTTAACCCTGAAGTCAACATAAAAAAATCGTCCTAAGTGAGTGAAAAAGTCGTCTTAAGTGAGCCTTGGACCTTTGTTTGTTGTTTGTTGTTTGTTGTTTGTTGTTTGTTGTTTGTTGTTTGTTGTGGTTGTTGTTGTTGTTGCTGTTGTTGCTGTTGTTGTTGTTGTTCTGGTTGTTGTTGTTGTTGTTGTTGTGGCGGTTGTTGTGGTTGTGGTTGTGGTTGTGGTTGTGGTTGTGGTTGTTGTTGTTGTTGTTGTTGTTGTTGTTGTTGTTGTTGTTGTTGTTGTGCGGCGGAGGTCGATGTTGGCGCAGCAAGGTTGGGCCGTCTTGAGGCTATGTTGGGCCCATCTAGAGGCCAGGTTGCAGCTATGTTGGGCCCATCTAGAGGCCAGGTTGCAGCTATGTTGGGCCATCTTGAACGATGGTGGGGCTATGATGGCCCATCTTGGGCAGTCTTGGGCCCTATGTTGGGGCAGCTTGGAGGTATGTTGGGCCGTCTTGGGGCAAGGCTGGGCCGTCTTGAGGCTATGTTGGGCCCATCTTGGGCCCTATGTTGGCCCATCTTGGACCTATGTTGAAGATAGCTTCAACCAACTACATCCGTAAAACAATTGAAAAGTTTGAAAGCCCAAAAGCGCTGTAAAATACAGGGTTCGGGCTTAAGGTCGGCGGCAGGGGCAACACCCCCTTTCGCTACGGAGAGGAGAGAACCTTTCGGGATGCCACGACCAATGCCTCATGTTGGGCCCCTAGCCGGATAAGGGGCTCCGCCACCTGCCGCCGACCCCTGACCCAGGGAGTGACGCGCAGGACGTGAAAGCAACTCACGCGATGCACTGCGCCACTAACGCGGGCGCAAGCTTCTTGACCAAAACCTGCCCTTCGGATGGCCAAAACACCACCACAGTGAAGGACGGACGGGCTCCGTTTCAAGCCGCATCTCGTGTTTAACGTCGCTTTCTGAAGCGACAAGAAATCAGCTCCAAACTCCAAAGTCCCTTCGTTCAAACCCTTGCCAAAAACCATTGCTTTGGAGGGCCAAAACACCACCACAGTGAAGGGCGCATGGGCTCCGTTTCGAGCTGCCTCTTGTGCCTGACGTCGCTTTCTGGCATGTTCGACCTCAGACTGCATAAAAGCATACGTCCAAAGCTACCTCGACTCGCAATGCCCAACATATGTTCTGCTCCCTGCAGAGCTGGTGCCGCCTCATGCCAGACGCATTCACCAACCTGTAGCTCCACTCATCCGATCGTTGTATGGCCATCCGTTGGCATCTGCATCATGGCAAAATCACTTCACCTTGCGAACATTTTATCAAAAGAATTTGGTGGCATTGAAATGCCAGAACAGCCCAGTTGTTTTAATGTTCCATCCAGGGGTCTTGCCCTCATGTTTACGCTGATGACTTGACATTGAGTTGTCCGCAGAAGAATCATGCCAAGTTTTGGTTCACTTTGCAGAAGCATGCCCAACTTGAGGAGCCTGCCGATCTCTCAAAGGTGCTTGGTAGGAATCATGTCTCCTGTGATCAATGTCTTTTCCTTCACCCTGCGGATTTTGCAAAGCAATGTGTCGAACTCTATGAGCAGTTGTCCGGCCAGAAGATCAAGCACTTTCGTACTCCTCACTGTGACAGTGGTACCTTGGTCGAGACAGACGATGAGTGCGTTGGACAGCTTTCGGCCTCTTCTGCGGAGCTTGTGATGAAGCTTATGTGGCTTGGTCGAATCAGTCGCCCTGACATCATGGTTGCTATTAACACACTTGCTCGAAATATCACCGGATGGAGCGCCAACGACGACGAGCGTGCTGCTCGTTTAGTTGGCTACATCGCTGTCACCGGTGATTACGCTCATGTCATGCAAATCAATGACCCTCCAGCTAAGCTGTGGTTGTCGCTCTATGTTGACAGTGACTTTGGATCGTCACCTGACATGAAGTCGACTATAGTGGGTTTGTCATTGCTCTTGAGGGGCCAGATTCTTTTGCTGTCATTCTTTGGGGATCAAAACCCAGAGAGCGGATTCAAGATCGACGACAGAAGCTGAATTTGTGGCTTTGAGCATTTCACTGTTTGAGGAGGCTATTTCACTTCTGGCTGTGTGTCAGCGTGTGATTGACGCCAACTCTGTTCTCAAATGTTATGAAAACAAACAGGCAGTGTTGGCAAGTGCCAAGGACTACAGCCCAAAGTTGAAGCATTTGGCTAAGTTTCGTCCCATCAATGTTGCGAGCACTTGCGAAGCCTTTTCTGCTGAGGACATCCTCATTCAGTATACTCAGACAAGTCACCAAAAGGCTGACGTCATGAACAAGGCATTGCCTTTGTCGATGTGGTCAGGTATTTTGAATTTACTTTGCATCAAGCCCATCGTAGTCACTTAGGCTGGACTTTGCTTGCAAGAATCCTCTTGTCACAGCATTCAAACTGCTGTTCATGAAACTAATGGAATTCCATAAATCTATTTGTCTTACTTGAGTACTCTACTGTAATTAAATTCCAGTATGCTACATGCCACTGAGCGCAAAGATATGTGGATGTAACTAAGTTCCATCTGCATTTTCAATCCTTGGATTTTGTTTTGCCAATACCAACTGCCGAAGATTAATTCAACATATTGCAACCGCTAAGCGTACAGCCGAGTGGATGTAACTAAGTTCCATCTACACTTTCATTTCTTGGGCTTGTTTTGTCATTTCCTATCTGTCAATTGGATTTTCTTTGGATTTTCCTTTTCGGTGGTTGGCTGCTCCGGCGCCTCGCCTACTGCCGATTGGATCTCATGCATCCGTAATTAAATGGGCTTCACGCATCCGTAATTAAGCATCCGTTAGGTGCACGGATAGAAATTCCTGGGCATGATGGATTCAGTAAAGAGAATCCTTCCATCCTCTGCCTGGAATACATCCGCTGCTCCGTGAGACATAGTAGGAATGCATCCGTTCGTAGGCTTGATCACCTTCCGGTAGTTTGTAGTCCTGTGTTTGACCCTGTACAGCTTATGATAAGGGGGGACTTGAAAGAAATGGATGTATACCATACCAATTCTTTCATATGTTTAATTGTATCTTTCCCTTCGGGTCAACACATCTCATTTGTATCTTACTTTGGCTCAAGGTGGTAAAACAAGGCCGCTGCCATTGCCCTTCCGGTGGGTCGCGGTTAACATGTTTCATACCTGTTTCTTTTGTGGTTTTGGGGTAATCATTCACAGTTCAATTCGAAGTGTTTTCTGAAGGTGATCAACTAAAAATCAAACTGACCGACCTGAAATTTCCGAAAGAAATCACCTGGGGTAGTTTTTATTATTTAAGGGCAGGGGGGATTAGTAATAGGGAGAAGGGATTACTTTGTCAGCTCCATGGATCAGGCGGCGCGCCAGGGACATGTTCCTTCGGGCGCATTGGGGCTGTGTGTGGTGAGTGCCCAGCCGGGACCTTTGCAAGTTCTTTGGGCCCCTGCTGGCGTTGCAGAGAACATACTGCTGCACTTTGGCTGACGCTTGGCCCAAGCCGCATCGCGTTAAATTGAATTTTCAACCAGCACAAGTAGAGCCCAGACAAGCCGGGTGGCAGACATGAAGCCTTTAGTAGAAAAGGGGGAGCCTACAGGAACCCAGCGTGACCACCTCATTTCCAAAGCTCTTGTTTGTGTCAACTTTCTTGACATCTCTCCCCCTGACATCTCAGTCTTGTGGAAAGTCTTTCCCTTGACGGCTCTTTGAGATCCAAGTTCTGAGTCTTGACATTTCATTCTCTGAAAACTCTTTCTCTTCACGTCTGTTTTCTTGCAATATTTTTTCATATGTTTCATATTCTTTCATTTTTTTTCTATCGGGGCCTCTTTCTCTTGACCCAGTTTTTCCTTGACGTCTTTTTCTATTGGCGCGCGTTTCTCTTGGCACTTCTTTCTCTGGAAGTATTTTCTGTTGACATATTTATGTATCACATATATATATACATATATTATCATATATTTAAATATTTATAATTATTTATAAATATTTATTTATATTTATAAATATTTAAATTATAATTATTTTTATATATATATATATAGTCTCCCGCCAACACGTTCCTTTTTTATCTCTTTCTCTTGGAACCCCTTGCTCTGGACATCTCTTTCTCTTGGCAAGTCTTTCCCTTGATGCCTGTTTGTTTTGGCATCTCTTTCTGTTTGCACGTCTTTCTCTTGGCATCTTCTCTTGACATCTCTTTCTACAGAGCATCTCTGTCGACCGAGCAGAGATGAGCAGAGCAACCCCTGGATCGCAGGCGCAGCGAATCGCGCTCCCAGAGCCAGGTCTCAGCGTGAAAGCAAAAAAAGACATGTGAAAAAAAACTTGAAAACACAAAGCAGCAGCAACAACAACAACAACAGCAACAACAACAACAACTACTACTACTACTGCTACTACTACTACAACAGCTACTACTACTACTACTACAACTACTACTACTACTACAACTACAACTACAACTACAACTACTACTACTACGACGACGACGACGACTACTACGACTACTACGACTACTACGACTACTACGACTACTACGACTACTACGACTACTACGACTACTACGACTACTACGACTACCACGACTACGACTACTACGACTACTACGACTAATACGACTAATACGACTAATACGACTAATACGACTAATACGACTACAAAAACAACAACAACAACAACAACAACTACTACTACTACTACGACGAGTACTACTACTACGAGTACTACGAGTACTACGAGTACTACGAGTACTACGAGTACTACGAGTACTACGAGTACTACGAGTACTACGAGTACTACGAGTACTACGAGTACTACGAGTACTACGAGTACTACGAGTACTACGAGTACTACGAGTACTACGAGTACTACTACGACAACAACAACAACAACAACAACTACTACTACTACTACGACTACGACTACGACTACGACGACGACGACTACTACTACGACTACTACGACTATAACTACGACGATAACTACGACGACTACTACGACTACTACGACTACTACGACTACTACGACTACTACGACTACTACGACTACTACGACTACTACGACTACTACGACTACTACGACTACTACGACTACTACGACTACAACAACAACTACTACTACTACTCCTCCTACTCCTACTCCTACTACTACTACTACTACTACTTCTTCTTTTTTCACATTTCACATTTTCACACTTTTTAAATGGAATTCTCGACGGGAAAATGCAGACAACAACATTGCCAGACAGAAGCGTTGATACAGGATCTCGACTGCATTGAACAACCACTGCAAGCATCACCACATGTAGAGACACTTGTCAAAAATCACCCTGGCGCAGATATTCAACCAGACTGCACACCAGAATAGCACCAGCACACCGACACATATGAAAAGCCACCTTGGCGCAGCAATTGGAATACGCTGAGCAACATCAGATTTCAAAACCAGCACCAGGGGGAAGTCAGGCGTCCGAAGCTCCGTCGGCAAAGCAACTCGAATGCGCTTGCGCAATAGCCCAGATGGTCCCAAAGCCGGACGGCGCCAATGGAGAATAATTTCGATTTTGAAGTGTCTTGCACCTTGAATTTTGAAAGGAAAATGATGAACATGATGAAAATGCAAGCCTCCAAAGTTTGAAAAGAGCACGGCCAAACATAATCACTGATGCAGTAATGGAACCGCAGAGTGATCAATGGCAGTGGGATTGCGTGTGCCACCGCAGCAAAGAGAAACATTGATGCAGCCATTCCACAGCAATTTGCAACTTTGCATCACAAACACACTGGCACAAGTCAATCCCTTGGAAACACCTACAGTGCAACTTTACCTTGCAGGACGCGTCCGAGTGCATCCGAGCGCAACGCCACACCTGTCGCACAAAAGGTTTCTCCACATCCGCGCGGAGACACACTTTAGGTTGACTTTACATTGAAAGAGGCCACCTTGACGCAACAATCTGATGGTGCAGAGAAAATACGGGATTGCAAATCACGACGCCCAAGCAGGCCATAGAGAAACATTGATGCAGCCATCGCAGTGCGATCTGCCAGCCTAGATTACAAAGACATTGGCACACCAAACCCAGCAACGCAAGAGGTCACTTCCGCGCAGCGCTGATAATAGGGACTATTCCAACCGGATCCGACCAGGAACCGAGAATGAGCCGAGGATGGACTGCACCTGTCACACACTCAAGTTTGCCATCGAAAGGCGCACTTTAGACGAAAGAACGTGCAGAATTCCCTGCGAATCCTTTGGAATAAAAAATTGCAACCTACGCAGCAATTTGCCTGCTCCTTCCGTTCTTCTTTCCCCTGCTCTCTGCACTTCTCTGGGCACTTCTCTGGGCACTTCTCTGGGCACTTCTCGTCTCTACTCCCTTTACTTCTGTACCCTTTTCTCTTGCCTCTTGCCTGCTCTCTTATCTTCGCTACTCTCCTCACTGAGTCACTCCTATTTTTTCCTTCTTTACTCTCTTCTCTTCTCTACTCGACTCTCTTGTTTTCTCTGCCCTCTTTCACTTCTCTATCTTCCCTTCGTCTCTACTCTCTTTTATTCTTTCCTTTCGACTCTTCTCTTCTCTTCTCTGCTCTGCTCTGCTCTGCTCTGCTCCGCTCCGCTCGCCTCGCCTCGCCTCTCCTCGCCTCGCCTCGCCTCTCCTTTCCTTTCCTTTCCTCTCCTCGCCTCGCCTCGCCTTTCCTCTCCTCGCCTCGCCTCGCCTCGCCTCTCCTTTCCTTTCCTTTCCTCTCCTCGCCTCGCCTTTCCTTTCCTTTCCTCTCCTCGCCTCGCCTCTCCTTTCCTCTCCTCTCCTCGCCTCGCCTCGCCTCGCCTCTCCTCTCCTCTCCTCTCCTCTCCTCTCCTACCCTATCCTCTCCTTTGTTCTCCCCTCCTCTCCTCTCCTACCCTCTCCTCTCCTCTCCTCTAATCTCCTCTCCTCTCCTCTCCTCTAATCTCCTCTCCTCTCCTCTCCTCTCCTTTGTTCTCCTCTCCTCTCCTCTCCTCTCCTTTGTTCTCCTCGCCTCTCCTTTGTTCTCCCCTCCCCTCCTCCCCTTTGTTCTCCTCTCCTTTGTTCGCCTCTCCTTTGTGCTCTTCTTCTTTGTTCTCCTCTCCTCTGTTCTCCTCTCCTCTGTTCTCCTCTCCTCTGTTCTCCTCTCCTCTGTTCTCCTCTCCTCTGTTCTCCTCTCCTCTGTTCTCCTCTCCTCTGTTCTCCTCTCCTCTGTTCTCCTCTCCTCTGTTCTCCTCTCCTCTCCTCTCCTCTCCTCTCCTCTCCTCTCCTCTCCTCTCCTTTGTTCTCCTCTCCTCTCCTCTCCTCTCCTTTGTTCTCCTCGCCTCTCCTTTGTTCTCCCCTCCCCTCCTCGCCTCGCCTCTCCTCGCCTGGCCTCGCCTCGCCTCTCCTCTCCTCTCCTCTCCTCCCCCTCCCCTCCCCATCCCTCCCCTCCCTCCCATCACCCTCCTCTCCCCTCCTTTGTTCTCTTCTCTTGTCTTCTCTTTTTTCTGATGTTTTTTTTCCTCACGTCCACTTTATTTTCCCATTAAGTTTCTCCTCTTAATTGTTCTTAATTTTCCTTTGGTAAATAAACATGGCTAGCTGAGAAGCACAGATCTGCATTGTGTGCGGTTGCTGTGTGTCAGATCATGCGCAAGCGGCCATTAAGTTTTGGCGGTGGATCAGCAGATGTGATGATAAAACTGTTGCATCCAAACGCAGTAAGATTTTTTGTTTGCCCGAACAGGTTCCTGGAGTTTTCTGCTGAACTAGAAGGCCATTCAGAAACCCTTTATTCATGTAGCATTTCCGAATCGCAACTGCGTTGATACCTGGTCCTTTCGTTTCTCAACAATATGGCGCCATTGCGTTCCTCAGGACTGTCGGCGGAGTGGTGCTTTTGCCAGGCATGTTTTTGGCCTACCATTTGCTCACGAAACCATACACTGCAAAAAATGAAGTTTCTGGTGTCGTTGGTTGCCTGCCGGGATTGTTCGTAGAAACGGTGCAGAATCTTTTGGTGATCAGTGCAGCGCCAACCACATGGCCACCAGTCATGATTGGCATGGCGACATATGCTAGCGTGGTGACCTTAAACTTGGAAGCGCTGGGCCTTGCCTGTATCGGCAGCATGGGCAACATTGGTGTGGTGGCCCGGTACTTTTGCCAGACGCTGGTTTTCCCTTCTATGGTAGGTAACTTGGCGTTTGGTATTTTTTTACTTGGCTATATAGACCAGCTCGGTTGGTCCTGCTGGTGCATTTTCAGCGCGAGTTTGACTAGACGATCAAACAAAGTTGAGTTGTTGCCGCACGGTCGTTTGATAAAAATCGAGAAGAATGGCATGTCACTGCGAATAGGTACCCTTGTTTTCAGGCATGTTTGCCTGCTATAACTATAGGCTTACAGACTTTATGCCAACCTACACCAACCTACCCCAGCTGCCCCCAACAAATCGTTTGCATGCGTTTGCCAAGTAGGAACACAGGAGCATGATTCGAACCTCGGCCATTTCTGAGGCATTTTGCTGTTGACCTTTGGATTCACGAGGCTTTTGCCAAGAGTAACCAGAGGCTTTTGCAGCTGTGCGCCAAGAGCCATGGTGTGCTATGACCGCCTGGCCAGAATCTTCCACATACCGCCAGTGCCGCCAACGGCATACTCATGGACCTGGTGCGGAACTGTTTGTGTCATTGGCAACATGCTATTGGTTTCATCATTCGGTTTCAAGCGTTCTTGTTTCTTTTTATACTTTGTAAACCCAGCTGATTCGTGTTTTTGAGATGTGAAATATGTGAAGCAGCAATCAGGCAAATTTTGCCAAGTGACCTTCCCTACCATGGCCAACGTTGGTTTATCGCCCATGATGTGCTACAAACATCCAGGCGAGGCACAAACCCAAACCCTTCCCCCGGACCCCTGATGTGTTACTCTTGGGCTTCCGTTTAGGGGAGTTTATTTGTGATATTTTGTGATATAGTGGGGGGTGGAATTGTAAAGTCCCCCTCCAGGCGGACAGCAGCACAGCTTGACGAAGTACAGCAACACGTTTTGCGGCAGCGGTGATCACGTTGCTTGCAGTCGTAATGTGGTTCAAAGCTTTTCAAGATGGGTTTTGCTTGGCAAACTTGACAATCCTTGGTGGCTACCTCCATGATCTTCATCATGGTATTGTTGTTCCTGTCTAGACTTGGATTGTCGGAATCCTCATGTTTGTTTGAACGACATTTGAGAGTATATATATAAATAAATGTGTATTATATGACGTGGCATACCATGGTATACCTCACTTCGATCCATTTTGTGGTATTCAACATGGGGAGACACATTTTTGCAACTGAACGCCATCTGATTTGATCTTGCTCAGGTCGCCATGCTGATCGTTGGCAGTGTCTTATTGAGCTTCACGACTGGTTTCCTGGCGCTTTGCATTTGGGTAGCCTGCAAGGCACCTCAATTTTCATGGCAAGGCGGGGTTCGGGAATTTTCTGTTCGCAGTGAAAAACTATTGAAAATCATGGAAAACTGTGAAGGATTGATCAAAATTGAGTTATTCGGAAATTCATTGGACCTTGGCCTTTGGGATTTGCATCTTTTTGATTCTTTTTGCCGACGGTTTCACTGGCGGAGTTTTCCAAAGGCCAAGCAGCCGTGAAGTTTCTGTTCGCGGACTTCCGTCCAGACATAGTATCATGGCGCAGATGGCTCAGTGTGAGCTATGGCTATGGTGTGGCTAATGGGCCCCTAGAGTAGACAGCCATTTGAGAAGATACAAAGAATCAAAACAGGCTCAAATGGCATATATTTACAAATAGAAAAGGTTTCCTGTGCGTTCTGCATGTGCATGGCTTCATGGGTTCATACTTGGACCACTGTCGGCAGATTTCGATCAGTTTCCCTGGCCCCGCAATGATCCAGGCATGGTTCGGCATCGTCGCCCTTTTTCGTGGTCTCTTCCTGTCCTTGCCTTCTGTGGCCGTACCAAACAGGCCCAACGTGCAGCTAGTGCTGCTACATACAGTGATGCTACTGTCCTTGGTTTCTTGGACTGATGCTGGCCTTGGTTCCTTGTCAACCTGGATCAAACTTGATCCACCTCCCCGGCTAGGGGGTATTGCTTTAGTAGCAAATATGCACTACTTGAAGGGTTAACTCCTATCATCTCCCAATTGATCAACAGGGTTTCTTTATAATCTTTATTAATCCGGGTTTGACATCAGCAACGGTTCCGTTCCTGATTTTATGTCATCATGGGTATGCCTCCAGGCTGATGATGCCGAGGTCCTTCAAGGCTATTGCCAGCCGTGGAAGTCACCGGCAGTGAATTTGGTGGATGCCACGTCACACTTTTTGTTCCTGAGCCTATTGGGTCTTGGCCTAGTGGGCCTGGAGAGCGAAAGTGACTGGATCCTCGACATTCTTGCCACTTCCGTTTGTATCGGCCTTCTGGTGGTCTCTCGGCCTCTGATGCCTCGCATGTCTTGACGGCCCAATCTTTGACTATCCCACAGAAATTGTGCAATATCCATATTGTGTCGAGAAGCGTGGGCAGCCTCTACAAATTTCAAATATGTACATACACAGCAGCGGAATACGATGTTGCATGTTGTTGCTACTGCTAGTAGTAGATCAGTATATCCATTCAGGGTCTTTCAGCTGCAATTACGATTTAGCATCGCGTTGGCGCAAAAATTGTTTTCTTCCCTCCCTCCTTCCCTCTCTCGCTCGCTCTCTCTCTCTCTCTCTTTTTCTTCTGGCTTGGATTTATTACTGCCTCCTGTCCTGTCCTGTCCTGTCCTGCCCTGTCCTGTCCTGTCCTGTCCTGTCTGTCTGTCTATTGTGTCTTTCTTCTTTCTATCCATCCATCCATCCATCCATCCATCCATCCATCCATGCGTCCGTCTGTCCGTCCATCAATCCATCCATAATCTATCAATCTGTCAATCTATCTATCAATCCATCCATCTATCCATCTATCCGTCTACCCATCTATCCATTTATCCATCTATCCACGTATTTATTCAACAATGGCTATACCAATGTATCTATCCATCCCTATGTCCAACATATATCATAGGCAACCCAGTCCAACTATATCGATATCTGTATCAATTCTGTGTGCATGGCGTCATCGCCACCCTATCTCCACCCTATCTCCGTCCTCTAATAAGGGTTTTGTTTAACTTGAGGTCTTCGGCGTGGTCATTTCCGTTTTCGCCTTGGTGATGATCATGGAGAAGTTGGGAAGAGCCATTGGAAAGAAGTGGGCCAACCTTGGCGATGTTCCGGAGTCAAGGGTCTTACTTCGATTGCAGCTTGGCCTGGAACATGGGCACAGGATGGCACAGGAAGATTCGCCCGAGCCAAGGATACCATCAGTTTCAACATGTTTCAACTGAAGTTGCGGCTTCAACTGTTCTACAGTTTCAATGAGACCTGGCGCTGCAATGAATTTGTTGCCGGCTCAAACCCTTGTAGAGGGGTCTTTTTACATAGTCCTTGTTGAGTCTCGTGGCACTCCAGAGTGTTGTCGGACATGTCTTTCGCATAGTATTTCCCAACAGCAGTGACTGTTGGATTTCAATTTCTGGGTCTGGGAGTGGTGCGTCGTTTTTTGCCGTGCCCATCCGTGCCCAGAAAAAATAGAAAAACGGAACGGCACCCTGCAACCCTGGAACCTGCTGTCGGTTTGCAAAGCTGGGTTAATTCACGAAGGTATGTCGAGGCATTGGTTGCGCCCTCCTCTGGAACCATTCATTAGTTATCTTTCTCTGAAATGCTGGGCAAAATCCTCCCTCTCAGCCGGTTTGCAGAGCCACGCGACACCATGTGCACAGAGCCAAAAGCATTTCCTGATTTATGCACAATGTGCGCAATGTTTTTCCAACTTCCAATAATCCCACCGTAGTAAGTAATGGGGACGGGAAAGCCATGGAAAGAGACAGATAGTCGATTAATCTGCGGCAGAACCTTGGGAAGCAGCAAGTTGACGATCCATGATCCATGACCCGTCCACCGGTCGCAGAACCCAGGCTGCAGAACCTTGCCAGCAGCATAGAGAGTTCTGACGATTTGCACTCTGTGGAGGCAGCCATGGACGAACTTGGAACCTACGATGTTCGTACCTGGGTCCTTCGCATTAGTTCAACTTTGCTCAATTTCTTGACACTTATTTCAGATACCAACTTTCTCAAAATACGTCGCAGTTGGCGCTTGCAGCCCCAGCAAGGTATGATCCTGCTGTGTCTGACAATTCTTGAAATGGAAACCGGGCTTTCGGCTACAAGCTCCGCCCGTCACAAGAGAGCGATAAGTCAGACGAGCCGTCTGAGCCAGCTTTCCAGCCAGCTTTCAGAGCCTGGGGTTGCAACCGACGGGGTGCAGCTGGGGCTATTGAATGCTGGTAGTTGGTATTACCATGTATTACCATGATTACAACCCCCACAAATCGGGATATAACCCTGGATTTGTCGGATTTGCACATTTGTAACCATATAATATACATATATATGTATATATATGTATATATACAACATATGCCCACTTCTGTAGCGGAACTGTACCCCCAAGGACACTTTATGATAGTTCATGTTATCCCAGGAAAACATACCCTCAGTTGCACTGTGCAGACTTGTTTGTGTCATGTTGCGTCTGATCACCTTTTGGCCTTGCCGACTTTTGACATTTGGCTCAACAATTTGTGTCCAGCGCGCCATTGCTGCGCTTGCTTGGCACACTGTGTTACTGGCTGCGCACTGTGTGTTCAATTGGTTAGCAGCCTCAAGAGGACAGCATACCCATCCATATCTTAGAGGGTAATAGGTTAGAGCCAGAATTTGATCCTTCACCACCGCCATTGTTTTCTTGATCTTGTAACACCTGTGCCTATTTCGAGTTGCTGGCCAGAGTGTTTCTTGCATCCGGGCTTCAGTGTGACACGCGAGGCACCCAGCTTCGCCAGTGCAGCAAACCACCCACTCGTCAAGGACATCTTGGGATTGGGCCGAGCCGGGAGTCTGCCATGCACTCGCAGCACCGGCTGAGAAACATCAATCAGGTTGGAACTTCGTGACTTCATAGGTTGACCGCACTTCTGTTGTTGAGCGCCTGTGAGTAACTCAGGATCAGGGAATCAAGCCTTTCCATTTCTGTGTGTTGGGTTGCAACCGGAAGGCCGTGTGCACAGCGAGCCGGGTATAGTGACTTTGCAACTTAGTGTCAAAGACCTCACAGTAAATACTTATTCCATATTTGGGTGCTTAGTCAGGACATTTTGCCGATTAGATGGAACTTGCAAAGCAATTATAGTGTTGATCCTAAGCTTGAAAACTCCACGCCTGAAAGATCTCACAGCATTCGTGGCTTCCACTCGGTGCATAGGGCTCAAATTGACCAGCGATTTGCCTTTTTGCACTGATTGTGAGTTCACGAAGTCAAGCACTTTGATTGTTCTTGTATGCCACCAAGACGGCCACCGACCCCCGCCTAGGGCCAGACGGAGGCCTCGATCGATCATCAGGGTCGTGAACAGCGACTGAGGGCAGCGCACGCTGAGAATCTCAGATCGACCAGGGGCGGTGACAGAGCAAACGAAAGCGATCCACTTGGGTTTGCTTGAGGTGCTTGAGCAGCAGTTGCAGCATCTCTTGCAATATCTCTTCGTTCAGCTTGATCGCGTTCAGGAGCGGCTGGTATACTTGCGACAGAAGAACAACTTTCCGGAAAGTAAATCCGTAGTATTACCTGGAGTCAGGACTGCAATCAGGGAGGGGCAAATCGACCATCAATCAGCGGGTCTGAAGTGGAAACGCTTCGCGGGCTTCTAGAATGTCTGGATGGACCCCGTAAGGATGCATCGTAAGGACCTTCCCTCGATTTATTTCTTCTAGGCATCCCCAGATGGGTTGGTGACAGTGTTGTCTGCGAACTCGCGCTCGATTCTGATCCACTAGGCGCAGCAGATATTGTCCGCACTTGGAGACCGCGACTTGAAACTAGTAACGAGGAGGATTCTGTTGACTCGTTCATAGCTGTTGACTGAACAACCTCGTTTGTTATTTCTGATATTTTCGGCATTGCAGCAATGAGAACCCGATGCAAAATCACAAGCTTTGCAAAATGACTGGGGTTCAACAAAGTTACAAAGTTTGGGTTCTTATTTGGGGCAATCGACCAGCCCTAGTACCTAGATGCTGGTCAATGCAAACGGGCTCAACAATGCTTTGCAATGGATCCTATCGAATGCAATGAAACTAGGTTGCGGCTTGGATTTTTTGTAAACAGGCGCAAATGCAATCCAGCTAGTGCTGAGCTATATACTGCAAGGTGATGATGCTTCGGGCTAGTGCAAGTGGCATCCACAACGCCCGTGGATTGTTGATGATTGTTGCCACCCCCCCATGGGACAGTGCGTCGGCTTGTGCAGGGCATCCTTCACCATCGAAGCCCGGAAGAGGGTCCGACTTGAGCCCAAAGAGTTATGTTCCGTCCACCGGTCTCACATCCAATCCAACTGAACGGAGACGTCCGCCCTCGTTCCCATCAGGTGACAGTCCAGGAGGATCCAGTTCCTCATCCGACCAAAGGGGTCGTTGGCCAGGGAGGTCACCAGGCGGTCCTGGTGGTGGTGGTGGGCATGGTTCAAATTCCCGGGTCGGAGTTTTCAAAGTGTTGGCATAGGATCATTCTCATTGCCTTCAGAGGATTCAGTGTACAAGTACAAGTCATGGCAATCTATCAAAATTGAATCGCTCCCACACGATGCGGGCGCGCACAGGGGTTGGAAGAATGGGTTGGTCACCTAATTGTGTCACAGGGCAAGACATTGTGCTTGATTGGGTACTTGGATCACTAGATGTTGCAGCGCATCTCGAAGTCAGCCAGTGCGTTGCGTTGCCGCGTCTTGGCTCCTACATCGCAGCACTTCTGACTGAACCCAAACATCTACGAGGTGATCTGGGTGTCCAGTTCCAGGCATACATAAGGGTTTCTCCAAAAGGAAGGGCAATGCTCCAAATGGTTGCCAGAAATTTCAGTTGGATCTCAGCCGAGTTGCCAATGTAACGCAGCAGTCGTTGTTGGAATTGACTCTTGAGGCATACACACATGATGCTTTTCAGAAGTCTATTGGACAGACTGAATTGGTTCTCAACGCAATTCCTCCTTCACATCAGCCAAGTGAAATGACAAAGTTTACTTGGCTTTATAGCCGGTTGAAATCATGTCGTGCCATGATTCACGGGATGGGTCGGCTGTATGGAAAATTGCAAGGAACCGTCATTGAGATGCGAGAGGACGCCAACGAGGAATCCATTCGCAATGCCTTGTCACCATCCAGAAACAAGCCTAAGTCAAACCCAAAGGGAGACGGTAAAGATAAAGCTGCAGTAGCTCAAGGCGGTAAAGGTAACGCAAAGCTGGATGATGCAAAGACAGAGCCTGCCTTGGCCGTTGTGAAGGCAAAGCCTAAGGGTGGAGGTCAGGACAAAGGTAGAGACAAAGGAAAAGGGCCAGGAAAGGGTAAGCAAAAGGGAGGTTCCAAGACCCCGAGGGGCAAAGCTCTAGGTGGTCCTCCTGCCAAGCAGTGTCACTTCTACCTCAGTTGCAATCGAGGGGATGCGTGTCCATTCGCGCATGAGGATTCTTCAGCGACCAAGGCAAGGGCGCAACAGCCAAGGCCGCATCTCCCAAGGCACTTGCTGCCACTGTAATCGCGAGCAGTGCAGTCCATGGTACACAAGCAGTTCAGTTAAACGCTTCACTGCTAGGTAAAACCTTTCAGTTAGCCATGTATCTTTTTGAAGCCTTCTTTGCATGTGTTGCTGCTGTGTCATCCGCATGTATTCTGCAACGCAATGAGCCATCACAACTGGGGGGGTCTGCCACTCGCAGCACCACTGTTGGGTGGACCAGTACAGTAGTTTTGCACAAGTGTGAACCCGCCCTCATTGCATCCAGCATTCCAGGACCACCCTATACGAACTGGAGTGGGTTGCTGACTCAGGGGCCAGCCTGTCTCTTGCATCCGTTCGTGCATTCGCGCATCTGGGCATACCACCAGACCTTGTGTATCAATGTGTGGAACCGACATCCGCAATCAACTTTGAGGCTGGAAATGAAACCACCAAAAGCACCGAGCAAGTTCCAGTACATGGGAGTAAGTTTGGAACATTCAATCATCGCATCCTAGAAGCTCGCTCTTTAGCTCGTAGCCTTGGGGAAATGGTCAACTCCGGACTGCCATTTGTTTGGGTGCCAGGTGAGCTTCCCTATTTGTTCAAGATCGTACATCCATTCATGTCAAGGCCAAAGATCAGACTTGGAAAGCAGATCGCGTAGAGGAGAATGTACCCATATTCGAGGAAGTTGTTCAGGTTGACAATGATTCATCTAGAGCATGTCAACATGTTATTGCACCATATCATGCTTTGCCTGCTGAGGGAGAGATCTCGCCAGATGTTCCTGCCAAAGGAAACGTTGCAGAGGTGCCAATTGACCCAGCAGGTGACGGTGCTGACTAGAAGGGTGTCGTCCTTAAAAGGTGAAGGAGTTCTGTTCGAGCATGCATGTTCCGAAGACTCTGCGATAGGAGAGAGAGATCTCATGGCATTGGGATCAAGTGCATCCGTCTTACGAGGGGGGTGCCTGACCTGTGCAATCCAGAGCATGTGAAACAGGCTATTCAACAGCTCGAAAGCTTGACAGGTGCAGACGCATCGATTTCCATCACTTGCACATATTTCTTCACCAATTCAGAGGTTGAACGTCCATCAGTACGGTAAACCCGTTTCCAAGAAGCTTGCCGCGAATAGGAAGCAGACCAGACAAATGTTGTCTCGCAATGCAGTTCGCAGAGGTGCGCCTGTTAAATGCAGGTAGGTTCGTTTTCGAATGACCCCAAGAGGCTGGCATTTGTGATCTTCCAGAGATGGTTGTTCTTTTGGTCTCACTGGAAAGGGTGGGATGTTGCTCCGAAAGCCATGGTGTATTTGCACAAGTGACATTCGCATGCTTCAGTTTGTCAATCAGCATCGCTGCGATGGGACCCATCAACATGAAGAGTCCATGAGTGGTAATGCTCGCATGACCGCATACTACACACCATCCTTTGCTGACATCATTCTAGAAGCTTGGTATCCGCAGGCATGGTACAAACATGTGCCACAGCTTGCCAGTGTCACGAAGGCATTGAGCAAGAAAGAGTGGTTGAGCGACCCAAGAGGAGTTGAGGCCGCGAAGCAGGAAGCAACATGGGACGATGAAACTGTGTCAACTTTGCATCAGGTTCGGAATAGGGCCAAATCAGTGGGTGTTAAGATATATAAAGGTTGCCGAACTTTTGGCCCTTTGTGGGATCAAACATTTTGAGCTGGACCCAAGTCCCAAGTCACTGGCGCTGGAAAGGGTATAGTATAGTGTATCGACGGGATAGGGTGTTTGATGAGTATCACAACTTTGCTATTTAGTTGAAGAGGCACCGACAACTCCCACATCGCTTGTCGCTCTCAACAGCCAGACAATGCTGCTTCATGTAGTGATGCTGTGGAAGCGTTTCTGCAATCAGAGCTCGAAGATACGGATTTCACTTATGTAATCGTCCCACCAGAACTGTGGCTAGATCATTGGCATTCCAAATATTCAGCTCACGAAAAGGTAGTAGTATGGCTGAAGAAATCGCTATCCGCTATACGGACATCCACAGGCTGGTCGGTGGTGGCAGGATCACCTCGACAAGCGGCTTTGCGCACTTGGTGCCCGTGGAATGTCAATGTATCCCTCAAACCACGTGATTGACTGGAAGCTGACAGATGGTCATAAGCATCTCTTGTTAATTAATGTGTATGTTGATGATTTAACTCTCTGCGGAAATCAGGCGTGTCATTCTGATGTCTGGGCGAAGCTCAGAGAAACGGTGAAGCTTGAAGATGAGGTATTCATTGATGGCAAGCGTGGTACCTTAATCCTAGGCAGAAAGCATTTCATTGATGTGGAGGACAAGCAGACGGCTTTCAAATTTGACATGAAGCCGTATGCCGAAAGTGTCGTTGAGACAAATTGTGAACTGACGGATTCAACAGAACCAGGTTCCGTGATGTGGCCGCGCCACATCTTCCTGAAAGTAGCCTTACTGACGAAGATCTATCCTCTGAAGGAGTGCTCAGCGCAAATGCGTCTCGCATCCTGATGAGATTATTACTTTGGTTATCCAGGTTGTCTCGCCCAGATCTTTCGTTTACAACTACACGATTGGAAGGCAGAGTGTCCACTTGGACGAAATTTGAAGATCGCCAGCTTCATCGGTGCATAGCATATTCGAACAAAACTGTGAACCTAGTTTTGGCTGGAGCGGCTGAACATGGAAGCATTCCACGTTTGGATGTTTTTACAGATGCAGATTTTGCATCTTGCCGTCATTCTGCGAAGAGCACTTCAGGTCAGGTTTGTGGGTTTCTGCGACTACAGGTAGCTGCACGTTTCCTGTACACTGGCAGAGCAAGCGCCAAGGCAGCATAGCTCGCAGTACAACTGAGGCAGAACGCATTTCAATGGCTAGCGGTTTGTTTGGCGAAGTATATAATATTCAAAGTTTCCTTGAACAGCTGACTCTTGGTGACATCGAGGTTTGTTTTTGGCAGGACAATATTGCTGTTTTGCAGGTACTGCAAGCCGGATATTCGGCGAAGCCACGTCACTGCGGAAGAGTACATAGAATCTGCCAGGGGCTCTACAAGACCCATCTCTGAAAGCCGAACGTTGTCCAACACAGCTTCAGAAGGCGAATGGACTGACTAAGATCATTCCTCCACATGAGTGGATCACTACTTTACTCCAATACGGACTTCAACAAGACGCCTCGTAGTTTTTTTCACATCATTGCTGGTTTACAATTGTAGTGTGCCTGCGTGGCACCTACCCGAAATAGAGGGCCAACATGACAATCACTCAAGGGGGGAGATAATGTTATCCCAGGAAAACATACCCTCAGTGATGCGCTGTGCAGACTCGTTTTTGTCATGTTGCATTTGATCACCTTTTGGCCTTGTCGACTTTGACATTTGGCTCGAGAACTGTCAAAAGCGCACCATTGCTGCGCTTGCTTGGCACACTGTGCTACTGGCTGTGCTCTGCGTGTTCAATTATATGTGATTCTTGTTGTTTTGGTATTTGCGAGACTTTACCAATGACATACTGCATTCATCCATGCATCGATGTACCCAGACACACGCAGCAGAGGCGATGATGGACCATATTTCGGTTTATATTCTTTCGATTTTCTCTATATGAAGGCATGCGCGCGCGCACGCGCACACGCGCACACGCACATTCTGTAAACACGTATGTGAACATGTGGGTATAAATAGTTTGTTGTGTGTGCTCATGGCATGCGCGTTGAAACCATTCTTTGGATGGTCGGGGCGCAAAAAAAATAGAGGGTAGAACTGGCATGATCCAATCAGAGGATCCGATTTTTTGTTCAAAATGATCTTAGATCCTACAGGAATCACCAAATGTCTAAACTAGTGGAAAACCTCAACAAAGATGGCGCGGGTTTTTCCAGTTGAAGAGGTCAAGAGTGCGTATGGATGAATCTGTTGTAGAGTCACAAGGCCATCGACCAGGGCTAAACTCTTGCGACCTGGACATGTCGTGGCAGTCCTTTAAAAGGAACCAGAACACAAAATACATCAAACATACCTCTGGGAAATTGCCATGGTTGGGAGGATTGTCATGGCGCGACCTTTGCCGAGGAGTCAAGTCGAATTGGTGCAGGAAGGGCATTGGCATCATCGGCCGTCTCCAAGAGACGGGCCTCGCAGTATACTGTCATGCAACGAGCCTCCCCGCAGGATACGGCTGACCGTGGGACCGTTGGTTGATCTGCGGAGCTATGGGGCGGTCAATATCCCCGGCAACGCGGGCAAAAAACACACACTTGCCCACCTTACCCTCAAGATTGCATCGTAGAATATTGTGAATGCGCTGGACCTTCCACAGACTTATCATGGTCAAAGCAACTAAAGTGAGCGCTGCAGCCGTAGCTAAAAAAGGAACCCCATGGATTTTTAAACTGTTTCAACGCAACCTGTGCATGTAGACACGGTGAGGCAAACATGCGAAAGGACCACGGCACATCACGGCGCCCGAATGGCACAGATCATGCTTCGAAATCAAAAAATTGGTCGGACGTGAATATAAATAGTATAAGTGATTGCATGATTTGCTTGGCTGACTCACTCTTCACTTGGCAGGTGCTAATTACATGCAGCAGATGCATAGAGTAATTAGCTCTACTTATACCCTGCAGGACAAAGTGTGAAAGGTCAAAAAGTAGACACTTTGATGCCTTTCGATTTTCGACTTTTCGTTTTTGTGTCAACGCTTCGACTTTTTGTGTTTTGGTGTCATGTTTTTAAGTTTTTTTGGATTTTTTTGGTGCACAATCAGGTTGTCAATTGTTTGTTTTTCAGGTTCTCGGAGAAAAACAACACTTTCGCACTGAGATAATGCAATGCAATGCATCACGTTTTTCCATCCCAGGACCCCCCTTGCACAGACCAGATTTGAACATATTTTCAATGAACCAAGTTGCATGAAGGACACTAGGCAAATAACACGCCCGAACCCAAGGCATGCTATGTGCATACAATACATCACACATTTGGAGGACATTCTTGCACGTATCACGTATAGGTTGTTTTACACTAACCAGATTCACTAGATGCCTGAATTTCTGTCGCGCTTTCCGGATCTTTGCAGGATTTGCTTGCGGAACATGGTTTACCGGGCGATCTCGCAGCACAAGCTCCAGAAGTGCAACTAGTGGACTTGGATAACAAGGGACAGAATGATGCCGATGTCTTGCCAGACCCAACGAATCTGGTCAGCGTTTCTGGATGATTCTTGACCACCTGAGCATACAGGGCATATCAGTCGGCGATCGGGTGTGGGTATGCTTGGAGCCCTTTGGCATAGTGTGAATGTCCTATGCCACGCATGTTCATCAGCTTCAAAATGTTCGAGATTTTCCGATCAAAGATCGGGTGATATTATTTCACTGCCCCAGCCCCATCTGACATCAAAGGTGCAGACTCCAACATCCCTTGTTTCATCCCTACCCTCTTAAAAATGGAATTTGAGGGGGGGGAGTCGTACTGAAATTTCATTTTAAAATTCAATTTTTGCAATCATGCTTTCTCAATGATCAATATTCCTCATCATTCCATGTCTTTGGCAAGCAGATGAAAATTAAATACTTGCGCTTAGCTCCTCCGGAGCTAAGTGCAAGTATTTTCTAACCAGTGCCCAAGGCTTGTTAAGAAATGTTACTTTATAATTCCATTTGAGGGGTTGGATCACTATCCCAGGGTTTCCAAGCAAAAAAACATGGAATTCGACAGCTTGGTTTTGTCCCCCCTCCGCCCTCCCTCTCTATAGGGGTAGGGATCTTGTTTCTATTTTTGAGATGCACATGTGCAGCTGAATGCACATGTGCAGCTGAATGCACATGTGCAGTGTTGCAGCCTACTTGTACATTGTCGTTACATAGTGACGTAGTGTTTCACTACAGTCTTTGAAATGTTCTTGAGAAATTTGCAACATGCAGATCAAAAGAGCAGGGGCGCGACTCGGACCAACTTATTGTTCAGAGTTCAGAGTCCTGTTTCTCACACTTGTCAGACCCAGTGTGCTTGTTTGGATGGGTTGCCCACAGTCCTGGAATCCAAATATCTGGAAAATGAAATAAGTTTCATTCTGGTAGCAACACTTGCCAGTATTATCTAGTAATTATTTGATTTCTGTATCGTTCCAACCTCTACCCAGATCTTCAGGTCTCGAAGGGCAAAAACTGCTGCAGGGCTGTTTGCTGCTGAACGTTTGCCTACGCCAGATTCTTCGGGTGGGCTGGGCCCTCAGCCAAGAAATTTGATAAAAATCCCCTCCCTGGCCCTTCCCCCTATAGAAAGTAAACATAAAAACATGCAGCATGCATCATAATGCATCATCCCCAGGCTCCGTACATTCTCACAAGATGTTGTAACAACACCCATGTAGAAGACTTTTGAACAGCACTCTTACAACAAGTGCGAAACACTGTGAAACATTTGTACAATGCACTTTTGGAACACCCGACCCGCAATGGCATAATGAACACTCTGGCAGGACAGTCTTTGAGATCACTCTTGAGCATCGTTTTGGATGAGAGGAAACTGACAACCGAAACAGGAGTGGAATTCCAAGGTTTGCATTTCCTCACTGTTTTGCAGGGCCGCGGCGCCTTGCAAAGTCTTATGCGTGGACATCACCGCGAAAACACTCTTTCCAACAAGACCCGTTTCGCATAGGCCGGCGTAGGCTTGAGGGAGGCAGCCTTCTAGCATTTAAGCACCAAGAAAAAGACTCACTTGCAGAAGACTCCCGGGCCTTGCCTTTAGCCAAAGATTCATTAAAGGAAGTGTCGAAGAGACACTCGCTTTCACATCGTCTCAACTTCACACAGTCTTAACTTCACATTCAACTTAACATCATCTCAACTTCATCATCTCAACGTTATATGATCTACAGCCAAAATTTACCGTAATGGATAGTATTCGAGGCATCTTTATTTTTTGAAAATTGAGCCGGGGCTTGGAAAACGATAATGCACTCTTCAAAAAACGATAACATTTTCTATATTCCCAAAACCTAAAAACGATAATACACTCTTCAAAATTTGATGACTTGGGGCTATATACTAAATATTGACCGTTGCCCATATCATCCCGACTCCACAATTAACTTCACATGATCTCAACTTCACGTCATCTCAACTGCAATTCGTCTCAACTTCACTTTAGTAAAATGAAGAACGAACCAACCAAACAGAACCTAATAAGGAGCTCATCAACCAGGATTTGGACGGCAAAACTATCGCTTCAAGATGCCTTTGAAGAAGTAGACAACAATGTGCGAAATCGTGATGAAATACAAATACCCCAGGACTCCTCCAATGGGGTCTCCTTTGTGAAACTCCAACAGTGATGGTATACAGCGAGGTTCCGTTGAAACTAGCAACCACGAGCTGAAAATATGTGGGAGCCGTCCGTAAAAGCAGGTCACAAATTTATGAATTGATGCGTTTACTTTGCTTTGCGCGATTGCTAAAACCTGCATCGCGATAGGCTGAGCGATTGGTTGGCGATTGGTTATACGGCTACCACCCTATTGCTACTACTACTACTAGTACTACTACTACTACTACTACTTTTACTACTAGTACTGCTAGCACTACTACTACTACTACGACTACTACGACTACTACGACTACTACGACTACTACGACTACTACTACTACTACTACTACTACTACTACTACTACTACTACTACTACTACTACTACTACGAGTACGAGTACGAGTACGAGTACGAGTACGAGTACGACTACTACTACTACTACTACTACTACTTTCGAGACCAGAACCATGCCAATAATTGACATGGCCGCGCGGATTGGAATCCGCGCAGATGTTTTCAGGTCAGAAGGACATTCAAGCTAGCTCCAATTGAAAACAGGTCAGAAACAGGTCAGAAACAGGTCAGAAACACCAAAAGGCAGCACTTGCCTAGCATCCCATCCATCCATCCATCCATCCATCCACCTCAGCTCTTATCATTGCTACTAATACTACTACTACTCCTCCTGCTACTACTACTACTGCTACTACTACTGCTACTACTGCTACTATACTACTACTACTACTACTACTACTCCTACTCCTACTCCTACTCCTACTTCTACTCCTACTCCTACTCCTACTCCAAACGCAACCTCTCTCTCTCTCTCCCTTGCCTATTCCCTCACCCTCCTACCAGAACTCCTACGCCTACTCCTATTCCAATTTCCACTACCACTACTGCTAGTGCTACTGCTACTGCTAGTGCACTGTGAGTTTTCCGGACCGTTTCCGGACCGCACAAGCTTATTTTGCTCCCAAATTTGAAATCGAATGCGTTCACGCATGGATCCTTACTCTCATTACTAGATTTGCTACTACCCCCAGCACTACCACCACACCCGCTGCTACTGCACCACCCTGCACCACCACTACCACCACTACCACTAGTACACCTAGGAATTTCTGCTCTTGCTTTTAAATCCAATTGCACTCGTGTGAAGGGTCAGAAACGAGTCAGAAACCAGTCAGAAACCCGTCAGAAACCCGTCAGAAACGGGCCAAACGCAATCTCTCTCTCTCTCTCCCTTGCCTATTCCCTCACCCTCCCATCAGAACTCCTACGCCTACTCCTATTGCAATTTCCACTACCACTAATGCTAGTGCTACTGCTACTGCTAGTCCTGCTGGTACTACTGTGAGTTTTCCGGACCATTTCCGGACCGCACAAGCTTATTTTGCTCCCAAATTTGAAATCGAATGCGTTCACGCATGGATCCTTACTCCCACTACTAGATTTGCTACTACTCTTAGTACTACCACCACACCCGCTGCTACTGCACCACCACTACCACTAGTACACCTAGGAATTTCTGCTCTTGCTTTTAAATCCAATTGACACGAGTTCCGCTGAAGGGTCAGAAACGAGTCAGAAACCAGTCAGAAACCCGTCAGAAACCGGTCAAAAACCGGTCAAACGCAACCATCTGTTTCCCCCTCCCTCCCTCTCTCTCTCTCTTTCTCTCTTTCCCTCCCTCTCCCTTTCTTCCCTTGCCCTGCTACTAGAACTCCTTCTCCTATTCCTACTCCTACTCCTACTCTTACCCCTCCTACTACTACTACTACTACTACTACTACTACGACTACGACTACGACTACGACTACGACTACGACTACGACTACGAGTACTACTAGTACTACTAGTACTACTAGTACTACTAGTACTACTGCTGCTGGTACTACTGTGAGTTTTCCGGACCGTTTCCGGACCGCGCGAGCTTATTTTGTTCCCAAATTTGAAATCGAATGCGTTCACGCATGGATCCTCATTATATAATACATAACTTATATTTTATGTAAATGATCTGATCAACGAAGAACAAGCCCTTCCGCGATTGCTCACTGTGGCACCGCGGTTGCTACGCGATTGGCTGAGCGATTGAGGGCTGTCCGGGAAAAGGTATTTTGGACAACCCCCATGTGAACATATTATGAACATATATGGGTTTGTCTGAAAATAGGGTATATTCCCAATTATAGCCATTTAATAGGGATAATGATCATTAACCATTGGGTTTGGGGGTACACTATTTTCAGACACACCCATATGAACATATATCTTGGTCGTCATAGATCTTCATCCAAAATAAGCAGGGCCTGGGAGAAAGCGCTGTGTCTCCACCAAGGCCTGTCATGCTTGGCCGGGCCTTGTCCAGCGACATGGCAGGCATCTCGCGTGAAAACTTGCATCCTTTGCTTCAGAACGTGTGGCTTGTCAGCACCACTGCGATGTCAGTGCTCTGTTGGATTTGCCTGTGATTTTTTGGGGTGACTGTGGTGACGTTCCCAAACAAAATTATGGACAGCGTTCTTTTCGATAAGCAATCTTAATGACTGGCTTGGATTCATGAATGGCAGTGAAGCCTGCTTCCATTGAAGATTGAATCTCGCCTCTTTCAGAAATCAATGGCGGACAATCTTAAAACCTGCCATATACCTTAAGCATCCTCAAGCATCCTTAAGCCTTAAGCCTCCGAGATAGGATCAAAGAACAAAGAACAAAGTTGCTGCAAGTTCCAAACACGGTGCCACTGGTGAGCATCCCCAATTCATGACTCAGAACTGGTGGTATGTTTTGACTCGTCCCTAGAGGCTGCCCACTGGGTACTATTGAACCATATTGAACCGATTCAAAAAGTATAAAAAGCGCATTTGTTTGCTGGAAATGAGCCTTTAGGATCTTTGGATATCTTTGGGCTGACTTCTGGTGATATGATTCCTGGATATTCCTGGCTCCTGTGAGGTGGGTCTTCATGCTTGAAGATATGCTACAAGCTGCCCATGTGATGTCACTGAAGAAGAAAAGGCACGGATTCACCCTGCTGGCTACGGATAGGATTCTGAGGCCGTCTCCAGCAGAACACACCTACAGACTGAGATTGAGAGTGCTTCCCAATTCTTCCCAACTGCTGCTTCTCAAGCTTCGCGGGCTTGGCTTTACAATCTTTCACATTTTGCAACAATGGTGAGGCTGCAAATACATGTAAGGAAACCTTGGAATACCTTGGAATCCATCTATTGCATCTATACTCAGCGGAATTACGTCAGTCTTACTGTGGAACTTTGAACCACCATAGAGACAGCCGTCAAAATCCAGTGCTGTAGAAGACGTAGGTTAGGATGGGTTACCGTAGCAGTTGCCTTGCCACTGAGTACTCATGCCTTCATTATCCCTGGTGCCTCGCTGTCAGGCTCATCCATGGATCAACGATTATTGATGCCTCAGGCGGCAATGATTGGCAAACTGTATAGACAGACTGCGCGAACATAGGGGAGGTTGGGGGAGCAAAGACAGTGAAGCAACAAGTGAGAGAACATGCTCTACACAGTAGCCTGCAAGGCGCAACTGAAATAACTGAATTTCTGGAGAGGGTAATGGAAAGAATTGTGCGCACATAAGCCGCATAGGAACCTTTGCACAGAACCAGGCCAAAGGAGTGGGCTGCGCCACACCCTTCAAGCCAGGCCTGTCACTCTCAATTCTTCGGTATGTCTCGGAATATAAGCCGTGGCTTGATATCATGAACGAAGACTACCCAGATTTGGTGAGCTCTGTGATAGCCCCTGAGCTGCAATGCATTGCAATATATTGCAATCCTGTCCGTTGAGGGAGGCACCAAAACGTCAAGAGATTTGTTTGCAAAGCAGTCGCAGTTATGATCAGTTATGTGAGATTCAATTCCTAGCAGGAATTGTCAACATAAAGAATGAAGCGGGTGAGGCACTAGTCACTGGTAGCCAGCATGTGAGAGAACGGTCATCAGATCCCTGTTATCAGGGCCTATATTCCCATTGTTTTCCAACAAATTCCCTAAAATTCACTTGCTGTTTTTTTCCTCCTGATCTGGACAAAACCATGGTTGAACCTTGGAAGGTTATCAACGCCCCTTCCTTCTTTGTGAAGATTTGGAGTGTCGTCTCACTACTCATAGCTCCAACCACGAGAGAGAAACTTGGCATCGGAACAGTGCCGTGAAACATACCTTGCCAGGGTCACACTGGCCCATTGTTTGTTGGTTGATGATTTGGATTAAAAGATACAGATAATAATCAATAATAATCCCAAGTGATAAATCCACATAATAACCAATAATAATCCCATTATTGATTTGAATTTGGCACAAGTGGCACATAGTGGCACAGCTTGAGGAAAGTCCAAATCGTGGGGACGGACTTCCAAGACGTCCTTCAAAAACAAGCCGCTCGCAGCATTCATGACAGCAATAGGCAGCAAAGCCCATGATTCATCATGATTCCAAGTGGAAACACTCGAAAGCATGTATTTTTCTTATTAACATTGCCAGTTCAAGAGGAAGCCTTCTTCGATTTCCATATTATGCAAACTCTCCAAGACAGGGTCATGGATTGTCCCTGACTCAGGGAATGAATTTGGAAGCTTTGCCCGTCTTTTTGGGCGGCCAATATGAGGCATTCCAAGCTGGGAAGATTTGCTCGGTAATTATCGGTAATTGATCAATTCATATTGGGAGGGCAGTTTTCAACTTGTTCAACAATTTTAAGCATACGTTTTGCATTGCTTTGTATTGTTTTGTCGTCCATCCTGATTTGGTATGATGAATATTGATGAATGATGATGAATGATGATGAATGCCAGTTTGCTTGAATGTGTTTTGGCAATTCGGGGGTCTATTCTCGACTGCATCAAGCAGATTGCTTGATCCCTGGCCAGGGCTCGCGATTGAACAGCACCTTGATAGTTCCCAAAGGCGCAGCTACAGGTCGGGCAGCTGACATCAAATGAAGGGATTAGCGGTCGATGATGCAAGAATCTAACATCATTGACCGCTAATTGACGAATGCCCAAGACTTCAAGTGCGGGCAAGAAAGGATCATACTTTTTTGAAAACCCATGTTTCCTCTCAGGATTGAATAGGCAGTCTTGAAACAGCCGTAATTATTTGGGCACATTGTTTACTTGAAGTACTTGCTTTTGATTAGCTACAGCTCACAAAATTTGGTCGCAAGATCCTTCCTTTTGGATACGAGTATATATATATACCGTATAGGATTTGCACATATTATATATACATAATTTCATAATATTTCATATAATTATTTATTCATTATTATATATATATGCTTTGACTTCCGGGTGCTTCAGTGCTTCCAGGAGGTTTCTTCACCTTGTCGCCAGGTCTCAATTTGAGCTTTGGTGGCGCATAGTGTGAACAAAAGCGCCTCATAAGCTGCAGCTGGTGCCCAGTTTTCCGTATGGACGAAGAGATCATAAAGGAAAAAAACATAAAAAAAAATCGAGGTATGTCATACTGCACCGCTATAGCTGGTCCCATCACTTTGAGCAAGCCGGAATTGCCTCGATGCTTTTCGTTGGATCATTTTGGCAGAACCTGTTGAAGCTGTTAGTGGCCCAAAGGTTGGCCCACAAGCCAAGTAGCTCATGGTTATGTGAGCATTTGTTGCTTTCGTAATTGGATTTCCAATGGTTCAACAAGAGTTACCCAATCCAGTCCAAACCAAGACGCTTTGGTACCCGAAACCATGCTGAACTATGTTGGTGTAGCATGGATGATCCACCAGTAGTAGACCTAGGCCGATTGCCTTCGACATGAACCACCCAATATCCATCCGCCCTTCTGATTCTGGGAGGGTAGGGGATTCAACGATCCGGGTTTTAGTCGTAAACCTCAACAAGAAATAGATTCCAACGTTTTCAACATCAAACACCCCTGTAATTCATGCCTTTTTTGTTGGTTGGTAAGCAGTCCTACGCCTACACGTTTGCTGTCGGTGGTGTCCCAATACTTTCAATACTTTGTTGGATGAAAATGAAAATATTGTATAAATACATACGCACAGGCACATTATATATATATATATATGTGTGTGTGTGTGATTATGTGCATATATATATACATACGCTATTTCAAATTAGTTCGCATTATATCTACACCATCTAAATCTAATCTCTTGGCACTTGCCCCCAAAGAAGTCTCCAACTCCAATCAGCTCGGTTCAACTGTACGTTGTCCTCGCCATGTCGCCGGATGATGCAGTTCATACCAGCTCCCGACCGCTGCATGACCGCCGCGCGGGGGCGCACCATACTACATTCCTGCCTTTGGTCCTGGGAGCAACAGGTGATGCGGGTTTGGTGGGTGAAACTGAAGCATTCATCGTCAGCCTCGGTTTGTCAAACAATGGGAAAAACTAACAAGGTCCAGTAGGTTAGTAAGGTACTTGCCACAACATCCACAACTGTGAAGCATTCTGAAGCATTCTGAAGCATTCTGAAGCATTCTGAAGCATTCTGAAGCATTCTGAAGCATTCTGAAGCATTCTGAAGCATTCTGAAGCATTCTGAAGCACGAAACGCCAGGAATTAGACCAGAGTTGGGTTGTTCCTGCTGCTTTGGAAACATTGGAAACCAGAAGTACCTGCAATGGCCCACTGTGGCGACGCCAGGTGTGGTGTTTGGTGACATTGGAACCTCGCCTCTGTATACCTTCAACAGTATCTTCACGGAGCTGAATGCCGTGCCGGAAGAGGCTGATGTGCAGCAGGCATTCTCCGTGATGTTCTGGACACTGACATGGATGACGCTTGCCAGCTGTGGGGCACAGGCTCTGGGGCACAGAGATTGCACAGCTCAGGGTACATCGGAGATCATCAGGATCTGAAAGATTCATGACCAGCGGAAGCCTGAGCAAGAAAACTATGCAGGAACTGCTAGTCAATCTCTTACAAAGACCCTTCTTGAGGGAAACTAGGCATGTGGTAATACAGATTCAAATCAGCCGTTGCAGCTCCTGGTGCAGTTAAGGATTTGCTTCAAGTACATTGGCCTTGTCATGCGTGTCAGCCATCACAGGGAGGGAGGACACCCGCTCTTTTTGATTTCATTCTTTCTATCGCAACTCAACATAACCTAGAAGGGTTGCTGTCTATTTTGGTCTGCATCTGAAGAAACAGCGTTCAGCACCCCCAGCAATTGGATGCAATTGGGAAGGTGACATGATTATCGCCATTCACTTGGAGGTATCAGTAGCATGCGTTTCAAAAAGTGTCTTTTCAAAACGTTTCTGTCTTCTTTACAGGAACTTTTGCAATGATGAAAGTCATCCTACAAACTTTGCGTGACGATCAAGATCCAGATTCGTCAGATGACGACACCGACGAGGAGCAAGAATAGGTCAGAGAAGGTCAGCCCAAAGTGATTGGCCCAGGTAGAATCAGCATTTATGGAACGATCAATAAGTTATTCAGAAGATCGATCAAAGCGTGCCCCCCTATGAATGCCCATGAATTCCCATGAATTCCCATGAGTCCATGTCCATTTAGTTTTGAACTGCCATAGTATGAACATGTATGAACTAGCTTCGGTCACTGCTAAGCTGATGGTATTCAATACATTTCAATACTATGACCTACTCAGACTTGACTCTTTGAAGTTGCTTCCCTACATGCTTGCGCTGGCGAGCTGTGTAGTTGGTTGAAGTTGGTTGGGAATTGCCTACTGCATCAACTGCACGAGGAGATGACAGGAATTGGTAGTCGCCCAGAACGTCGATCGTTCCGTCAGCGAGTGGCTTCTTGTCTGGGAAGCTTAAGTTTGGCAGCTGACAGACCTACATATAAAGTCATATACAACAGTATTTATGATATGTACACATTTATTTACACTATTATATATATATATACATTATTATATAACTATGTATAATCGTATATACCAGGTCATTGAAATGTATCTACCATGACCTTCAGCATCTTCAGCTACAGAGGATTCACGGCAGCTCAGGTACTGGTTCTGGGCATGTTGAGCTGTTCCATGCTGGTGGGAGATGGAGTCATCACTCCGCCCAACTCAGTGCTGGGAGCCTTGAAGCCTGGCGGATCAATGTGGGGGTATATATTGCTGGTTGAAGACATGGCAGACATGGCCAATCCGATGAAAATGATGATGACAATTTGGATGAAATGGGGTACCCCCCATGATTTCAAGAAATTTCCATAAATTTCCATTTGTTGGAAATGATGATCGATTCTGGAAACTGCCGGAAATAGAATGAAATATCCTGAAATATCATCCATTGATATCAACCACATCGTGGCACCATTTTAACTCATGATCATCGAAGAGAGTTAGAAGATGTTTTGTTGATCCGAGTGGCAGTTGTGATTGCTGACCGAACTTTCTGAAAATAACGGTGTCAGAAGGGATGCCTGAGTTAGCAGCAGACGTCAGTTCCAGCTCCAAGGGGCCTACAGTAGTTGAAACATGTTGAAACAATGGAAGCCTCCATGGTCAAAAACGGACAAAAAACAGTCCGTCGAATCTGAAATCCCTCAACCGGGGCCCTCAAAATGAATAGGCCTAAGGCATGATTTTTAGGCGGCATTTAACATATTCTAACATTGGGGGAATTGGGGGGGTATTTCGGGGGCCACTGTTTACCCCATTCTTCCACCTCATTTGGATAAGCCTTGCAGAGACTAAGGAACAGCCCATGCTTACAAGTGCCAGAGAGCTGGAATGTGTGCATCGCAGTGGCGATTCTACTCGGAGCGACGATGGAAATCGCTGGTGATGGATGTCCCGCTTGGTGCTTAATAACATTTAATAACTAGATACGACATGATACGACTATATGGTTTGATAAGTTTAATAGATCATTTGTTCATGAAAATGCCAGTTGTAGATGGGTTTGGCGAGAAATGGAGGATTTGCCCGCAATGTATAGCCATTGAGACAAAGGAAGCGTGTTTTCCAAACCAGTGTGCTTTGGGGGTACCCTAGTTTTGGACAGCAGAAAAGCTGGAACTCTACAACACAGGTGTCCAGCAATTTCACGATGCAGCGCCAGGAGTGTTTGGCTTGCAACGCATGGGCAGCCGCATCATCGGTTGGATCGCAGGGCCTATCATGGTGCTGTGGTTCTTGACGATTGCTGCCTTGGGTTTGTACCAAATTCTCCTGAACCCTGAGTTCCCCAGCCATATCAGCCATCAATCAGCGCTGAAATCCTTGAGTTCCCTGGCGCTGCCTATGGGTTCCCCAAAAGGCGGAGCCTCATCCGAGGCTTGCTGCCTATGTTGCTCGTGGATTCAACCCCGTGGCTTGGATGCCGATTTCGTGGAGGTGTGTTGGATGTGTTTGGAAATGTGTTGGGTTGGAGTTCCCCTCATATCTTCGATACATATATAATCTCATATATACCCATGCATCGAGTTTGGCAGGCTTGGGTGTGCATGTATCATCTTCAAGTGTTCAATGAATGCTATCATTTTGGCTCAAGTAAACTTGAACCAAAATAGCATTCATTGCTGTTTTCTTTCTCGGTCGTTGTAAGGGGCGACCTTACTTGACCTTGATTGGTTGGTTCAAACTCAACACAAGGGGTGACCTTGTATGCAGCGCAAACTCCCAGGCATTGATATTCCAGCAGCCACTGAGGCGAAGATCCTGCATGCGGCTGCGTTTTTGGAATTCAAGAACCACGTGGAGAGGCTGGCAAGGGAGGACTTGGGCCCAGCAGCATACACATGCTGGATGCATGGTATCGAGGTGTTGCACTCCCCCTACGTTCTCACTACTGGGACGGATTGTGAGTTGTTTCCCCCCTTGCCGAAAATGCCCTGCTGCCTTGATGGATGTCCACGTTGCGCAGCTCATGTGGGTGGGTTCAAGTTCCCGTGGCTTGGCTTGTGGAATAGCCGGGGAGTTGTGCTGCCTGATGATGTGGCGCCTGCGGATGCTTGGGAGTACTACTACCAGCACCAGGAACCCATGGATCTCCTGCTGGTTTCGGCATACACGAATTTCAAAGTGGCCGATGACGTGGTGCCCCAAGAGCTCTATGGACTCCAGCTCAGATGTTCAGCGGGCGACGCTGGGCAGCTGGGCCTGGGCGAGCTTTTCGAGCAATGGAGGGTCTGGCTTCGATGTGTGGGCCCGCACGAGCTCCTGCCGATCTTTCTCGAGCCGCGTCACTTCCCCAGGGCCCCCAGGGGGCGACCCTGGCCGGCATGGGGGAGAGAGGGCGCCAGGGCTCATCGAGCTCTTTGTGGATGGCTGGAAAGCCAAGAAGCCAGAGTCCAGCATCTGGGGACTGCATGCACGGAGTGCGGCGACCCCACCAGGCGCGTGTGTTGGGCCTGCTGCGTTGGCATGTGTAGTGACTGCTATACATGGAGGCAGCCATGCACAGTTTGTGGAGGCCGTAAGAAGATGTTCGCTGAAGGTTGATGCTATGACAGAGGAGGCACCTCTGGAGTCACCGCAGCATCTTTTTGCTCTCCGCACCTTAGCAATTCTGTTAGGGTGCAGTGCCATGGCATCAGGCGGAAAAGGCTACTACGCAGCTCAGGCGGCAGCCTCATCTTCGTCAGGGGGTGACCCTGCACCAGGATGGAGGGCGGCCGACTCTTTGATGATGATTGCTGCTCAGAGGGCTCGCCAATGGAGGGAGAATGAAGGCCTTCTGGATGACAATGACTTTGCCTATGCCTACACAGACTACGATCAAGTCGTTGGACTCGCTGGCCATCATGTCGCTGATGACTGGTTGCAGACGCGAGCAAGGGTCGAAGAAACCCTCCTTGCCGCTGGAGCCAAAGTCGTGGAGGACCACCCCAAGGGTTACGCCACTCTGCGCCCAGTGTGCAAGACGATCTACAAGAAGAAGCCCAGAGCCATCAACGTCGACAAAAACCTGAGTGAAGCCGTCCAGAAGAGGGTGAACGGCGTGGTTTCAATGTTTGTTGGCATGGGCGCTTACAAGCCAGCCGGCATTTTGACCGACACCCTCAAAGCTGAATGGAAGCAGACGTGCAGGAGGATCGCCGAAAAGAAGGTGAAGGACGCTGAAAAGGCCACCATTGACAGAGTGGTCAACACTTGGTTGGAGCTGAGGACCTTCTTGGAGAGCCGGGGGCGACCCGCTCCTCCCGGAATGGTCGACCTTGACCAGTTCCTGAACCACACAGCGGCACCAGCACGGGCACTCCAAGCTTTGAAGTGGATGAATAAGAATGCCGACCAGGATCTTGAGCTGGGCAACTTGCAAGTTCCCACAACACCCAGGGCGACTGGGCAGCGTGGGCAGGCCCCGGTGGTCGAGCCACCCTTGGTGCAGGCCTTGGAGGACCGCATCATGGAACTGCATGCGGTAGGCGATGAAAGGTGGTCAGTCCTCCTGGCCCCTTGGGTCATGGCGTTTGGCTGTTTGAGGTATGCGCATATATCTCGATCAGAACCTCGACGCCTCACCGCTGCATTCCTCCATTGCAGGTGTCCCAAAGGCAAACAAAGGCATGCTCGTGAGGGATTCGACTTTGCAGTGCCGGCAACCTTTGCCAATGGGTTCTTTTGGGCCAAGGAGGTGTTGGAGGCCTACAGGACACTGGCACCGGCAAGGCAGAGGCTGGCAGGTCTTTGTTTTTCGGACGAAGGACGCCCTTGGACGATCCTTGAAGTTCAAGAAACGATGCAACAGGAAATGTCCGTGTTCCTCGACAATCCTGAAGACCTGACCACCTACAGTTGGAGAAGGTTGGCACCCACTGTGGCCCAATTGTTGGAATGCAAGCCTGAAGAAATGGCCGCCCTGGGTGACTGGCAAGCCAAGGGCGAGGTGCCAGAGGTGGGTGCAATGGCCTTCCACTATTCGTCGGCCAAATACGCCGCGTCGATCAAGGTGAAATCACTGATCTGGGGTGCGACAGCAAAGCTGACTAGCAACCTGCTGTGGGAGGCGATCCCGCAGTCAGAGCTAGATGCAGCCCGGGTCCACGGCTTAGCAGAGGCCGACCGGTTGCTGAGGCAGGACAGGCAACCAATGTGGGCCTCCTCACACAACTTTCAGGATGTGAAGAAGAGGCTCAAACTGTCACAGCAATTTGTTGAAGCCGCGCAACAAGCCCGCCAGGAGGCAGAAGCGGCACCGGCCCCCCAAATGCCGGACCACCTTCAGGGGAAAGTGTTGACAGCCACCCTGAAGAACGGCAAGGCCATCTGCCCAGACTACCAGACGGATTCGTGCCCGAACGAAGCAGACTCCTGTCCCTTCGGAGTGCACTTATGTGCCGTCTTACAAAAATCGGGACGGGCATGCGGTGGCAAACACGGCGCTGGTGTGTGCCGCATCAAGCGCGCAGTGCTCGCTGAGACCGCAGTCCCGGCAGCCCCCAAGCCTTCGGCATCCTTGGTGCCGGCAGCCGTTGGAGCGAAGGCTCAGTTCGGCAGAAAGAGGACCGGGGCAAGTGGAGCAACCGATGATGAGGTGGCAGAGGCTATGCGCTCAGCCGTTAAGAGAGCCCGAGGCAGCGCTGCACCGAAGACACCGCCTAAGGCGCCGGCGATTGCAGCCCCGAAGACGCCTCCAAAGGCTACGGCTACCACCCCCAAGCCAATGGCGACAGCCACAACTCCCAAGCGCATGGCAGCCCCTGGAAAGCCACAGATCAAGGCCATGCCCAAGAAAGGCCGTGGGAAGGCGGCAGGTGATACCTTGGACATGCACCTCGAAAGGTTGGGTGTTGGCTCAGGGACAGCCCAGGCTCCAACATGCATCTGGCAGTCACGGAAGGGAGGTGGCCTCTACTTGGCGGGACTTCCAATGCAGCAGACCATGGATAGGTTCCCCAAGACGGCACTGCAGATTTGCTGCTTCCCGCATGGTCCTGAGAGCCGGGGGGGGTGACCCTCCCGGGAGCTCAGCTGATGACCTTTGCGGCGGCTTACAGCCAGGAGCGCAATGAGCAATGGACAGATGTGTGGCCAGCTGTGAAGAACACGGTCTGGCACGGTGACAATGTCCTAGTGCACTGCATCAAAGGGAGACACCGTGGTGCCTATCTAGGCATTCTCTGCCGAGCCTTGCTGGAAGGCGAGTCCATTGAGGCGGCCAACAACTTCGTGGAGAGTCGCCGGGACACAGAGCTTTACAAGGTGATCAAGGACCAAGGCATGAAGAAGTGGCTGCACAAGACCTTCCAGGACACAGCCGTGGGGACACAGCATCCTGAACCCCAGGGGTATGCAGCCACAGAGCGCTCCAGCACACATGTCACGGTCGAGGATGGCATCACCTTGTGCCAGCACAAGCAGGCTGACGGGAAGGCGAAGCGTGTGGTGAACCCGTACATGTCCACAGACATCTATGAGGCCCTAGCCTGGGAGCGTCCCTGGTGTGACCAGTGCCTCCGACGAGCACCGGCATCATGGTGGCCACCGGCCTGATCGACCAAGCCGAATTTTTGGCCTTTGCGCTGATTTAGCTGCATAGGCCCGTTCCGGCCATGGAGAGCCGAATTCATCAGCTCGGGGCTTGGATAAGAGCTTACATCCAGCCTGCATGACCGCCCCCAGCAGTGACATCGAGTGCGTTTGAAAAATAGAGCTGCTAGGTTACAGTGGGGGGTCCACTGTGTTAACCGCACCTTTCATGAGTGACTCATTTCTTTTTCATTATTTTTGTACTGGCATGTCGGACACGCAGGAGGGGGACTCCAGCGGGACATTTGACATCATCAGGTGACTCCATGAAGGTGAGTTCATGCGATGCCTATGTTGTCTTTTCAAATCTGATGCATGTTTTGTATTTTAGTTTTTGCTGAAACAGCGTCCTATCTGTCATGTCAGGCCGTTCGAGCACACTGCACGGGGGAGACCCGAGGCGCAGTTTTCAGTCAAAGGGAGGGATCCCTGGGCCTTAGCTAGAGGGGTGTCCTCAAGATCAGGCCATGGAGACTGATAAAGTCCCCCTGGAAAAGGGTTCCCCCGAAGAAGTCCTTAGGAAGTTGGGTGACAACTTCTTATTGGATGATGGGGTAGTGGAGGCCCTTCTCCGTTTAGGGGTGGAGAGCTTGCAAGAGTTTCGGTTCCTTTGGGCCTCAGAACAGGCAATCGAGACATGGGTAGCCAAGTTAGGCCTGGGAGACAAGGCCCTGCTGATGACAGCAAGGGTCCGCAGAGCATGGGCCGCAGTGGGGCTTTACTACCGCCAGTTGGAGCAGGATCGGTCCAAGGTCGCACTGTCGGACCTCGATACCATGCTCGGGGAGACCGAGCTGCGAGACACCAAGCAGCAGTTTTGGCGTCGCTACAAGATGCG